GGGTTTGGCACCCGGAGACCACTCTGCTCTTGCTGGCAAGTTGAAAAGTGAGCATGCACCGAAAAATAAGACCTCTCAAACTTAATACAATCACTTTTGAGGAGATTATGTATCCGGATATAGTTTTGGTTGGTTTCCCTCACTTTGCATTTTGAAGTGTCGTGTCCATTGGACGTCCAGCCGACGCCACCGATCCACGCCCCTGTACAACATCCGCCCCACATCCAGCCCGTCCCTGCCCACTTCCAGCCCACTGCCCGTGCGCACTGCTGACCCAGATGTACGCGCTACGTCCTGCCCACGGCTTGCCCACGTCGACTTTCTTTTATGTTCTTACATGTGTATGATGCGTAATGATATTGTTTACCATGATTTGCATTATCACCATGTTGCTAGTAGTAGTAGTTACTGTGATGTGAAAGCCGTGTGGGTCTAAGGGTGTATATATTATGCGGGATGCTCTTGGGGGCAATCAGGGTTGCGACTTATCTAGCGGTTTCGTGCTGCGGAAATGGTTTGTTGCTAACCCCCTTGAGTGTTTATACTTCCTTCGGGCCTTTGTTGCTCCGCGTCCCATCTCTGGGGAAGTTGTTAGCGTAATGATTAGAGTATTGGCACACACAGTTTGGTTGGGAGCTCATAACTCTGCCTATGCTATAGCTTTCCGCTCTTATGGTATACCTGGATGGCTTATAGTCAACGATGTGGCTCATGGAGAGTACTGACTTTGTTGTCAGTGGAACTGGTTCAATTCGAGTCATCGTTTTTATACTAACTACTACTGTAAATATGTTGTTTGGAAACGTATACACTTGTTTTACCATTTCTACTCCTATGCGTTGACCTCATGTCCACGCCGTGTCGACGCCATAACAGCCCAATGCCCACCCATCGCTACGTCATGTCCGTCCAGTGCCTGTCCACGAAATGTTTGCCCTGATGCTTGTCCGCCTAGTTCTACTCATGATCACCCCGTGTCGATATCTGCGCCATATCTACCCCATTCCCATGTCCAATGCCGTGCCGATACAATGTTCGAGTGGTGTCCACGAGATGCCTGACCCATGACCACTTCAGGAACACTCCGTTACCACGACGTTGAACACAAGTACAAAGACACGGGGAAGACATGGTTTCGCCTGATGAGTTATGATGTTGTATGAAGGGTATGTTTTTGTTTGCCCGATTTGACCTTCCGACGAGGTGGCTCAGGGAGAGCACTAGTGGCAACTAGTTGGTGGATCACGGCTTGTTGCTGCGCAATGGTGTCGTTCGCACGTGTGCCTAGCCCTTGGTGCGGTGTTTCGACCACGGCTTCGTGCGGGCGCTCAATGGATGCTGCCCACGCCAAGAGATTTCCAACGGTGAAACCAGCGGCGTTTGCCGCTTGCGCAAGCCTCGCCACAGCAGGACCATGGGGACACGTCTGCATCAAGAACGTTAAGTGCCACAACAATGTCGTTATCAATATGTCTAGCACCGCCGGCTTTATCAACAAGTTGGGATTTGCCAGCCCAACACAGTTTTGGAAGGCCATGGCTTGGACACGAGCGATAGCAAAGCGGGATGCCGGATCGAGTGGTGAAAGGTCAGGTACGACAACATTGCTGGTGGGAGTCCAGCCGCTCAACATCTTTGCAATCTTTGCAATCTTCTGGTATTTTGCTGATGTGTTGAAAATTACGCGAAAGCCTTGTTTGTCGATGATAGGTTCCACGCTCCACGATCAAAGATCCATTGCGTACTCAAGCCGTTGTGGCCATTGGCATGCTGGCACCTCCACGTCGAAAGCTGTGTGACGTCAGTTCGTACGTTAGCCCCCACGGTATGGCAATCCTCTTTAACAGTCGATTCACGTAGGCATGAATGCCCGGATCAGCCGCGACATTCGCCGCTTGTGGCGCGTCTTCAGTACACGATGTCAACGCCACCAAAGGATCGAGCAGGGAAAGCAGTGGCGTTCCAGGTCGGATGGTGATCGCTTCGGCTGTCACAACTTGAGGAAGGTTCGACAACATAGCGACTGACGGGGTAGCTTGAGTAAGTAGGGCTAATGCGATGGATAAGAGCGGACACGCGTATGGGTTTTGGTCAGGATAGAGCGCAAGGCGCTGCTCCTCGGACGTCTTCATGCGCACGAAACCAATTGTGACTGCAGACCCCGAAGACACAGCGAGCTGTTGGCGTTGGACAAGGGAAAAGTCTGAAGCACGGCCAAAGCAATGCCACAACAGGACTAGCATAGCAGCATCTTGATAATCTTTTGAACTCTGAGCGTTGTGATGCACACACAAGTCTTGCTTCGTGCAAGCCTCGGCTTTCTTCACAACGCCACCATGTTCACGCTTCAAACAATGACGCTCAAGCGTGCGCGCCATCTTTTGCAGTTGTTCTTCGAGTGACACGCGTAGTGATGGATTTTACTCCAGCAGCCAGTTCTTGGTCTGTCTGTAGTACTGCATTACAGTAGACTTTGCCAACTTACGGCCGCGACTGCCTTCGTTAAAGGCTAGGTGGATACCATACTTATCCATTGCTGCCTCAAACACCGATGCCGTCGCATCCTGGGCAATGCAAGCCAACAGATGCTCGAACGGGACGTTTTCGGAGGCCACCCACCGTTTAAACGCATTGAGTGCGTTGATGCGAGCCCTGGCATGCTTCGCAGGCACAAGGTCGCGTAGGCTCATGATGCTGCAGATAATCGGATGGTTGGGTACCAGTTACACTTAGTGTTAAGATATACCGTACTTCGAAGTGCTACGGATTGGTAATTTAGGTTGTTGTGTGAAAACAGGACAAAGTCCTGAATGTCGGAATGTGAATCATTTCCAGTCAAATACTCGATCACTACTAGGTTGTATGCAAGGTGTGATATTTCAGATTCCATTCCGACAAAATTTGTCGGAATTTGTCGGAACCGACACAATAGCAGTAGCCCTAACCCTAATTCATGTTTATTGGTCAAAATTATGCATGATTCGTTTTTAGTTCCATATGATTGGTAGAAGGAGGAAACTGAAGTCATTGGTTGGCTAAAATTAGAGCATACAAATACTAAGTGAGGTCGGAATATTGATCATATTCATCGGTAGGCCTAGATTTTGGCTTCAAGTAACATATTGCAGAATTATAATTCGAAACATATAAGTCGAGTTAGATGCCGATTGGGCTCTTACCGTATATACATGGTCGTGTTACGTTCGCGATGTGTGAGAATGCGACAGCCTAAGACACTGAAGCTGTCCGGGTAGTCCTTGGTGGTCATTCTCGTTGACATTCGAACGATTACGTTGGCAGTCGATTTATTGTAGGACGATGTATTGTCCTTTTACCCCAAATTTGGACTTTTGTGATGACTTTTTTCGCCAAGTCCATCGATCGATTCTTTGTACTGACTTCAATATGTAGATATCTTTCGTCGTCCACGACATTTTAACCCGACAACTTTATGATTGGCCAAAAATGTATTCCCAGAATGCAATTTTGATTGGCCGAGCTGTGAGACTTCCCCAACAACCTCATTGCACTAATGCCCAAGATCCCAACACTTCATTACAATCGTCCCTCGCGCTCTCGCTTGCGGACTTCAGACAAGGTACTGCTGTAAGAACTGGTGTGACCTACATATGCAGCCTCAAACATCTCATAACTAACATACTTTGAAAAGGCCAGCGATAAAGCGCTCAGAATACTTCCGGTGGTCGGCCCGCATCATTTGTTTGTTGAACGATCGCAGGGGTTGATACCCGACCGCCGGGTCTCCGGTAAACCATTGTCCATGCTTCGTTCGCCGACCATGCAGTAGGTACAACGGCGTGCGAAACGAAGCTGTCCAGCGTCATTTGACGTTGGGACTTGGCAGCCACTGGCGGTGGTAGTGTGCAGGCGACATCGGCGGCGACGACAGCGGCAGGTAAAACATGCACGTTGTTTTGGAGGGACTTGACAATTGCGTTGCAGAGGTCTTGTAGGTTCATTTCGCCGACGGTTAAGTTGCTGGTGTTTGTGTTGATGCGTAGTAGATTTGTCGGATCGATTTCGTTTGTAATGCTGCGTGTAATAAGATATTCACAGCATATATTTGCATCTTCCCGTCGGCACCATGCCATGAGCTCTCTGAAATTGAACCGACGCTCTGGAGACTCCAACACTCGGTAAAAACTTCCTCCATGACGCATGCTGTGCAACGTAATTCCTAAAAAATATTATATCCTAGTACCAGTTGAAAAAATAAATATGCGAGCAAAAAATACCTGTAGGAAGCTCGGAGCACTTTTCAACTGCACTTTTAATGAACAGAAGGACTTGATTTTGATCAAGACGTTCGTACCAGTTGAGTCTTGGGGTCCCAGACGATTTGAGTGTGTAGGCAGGAAAAACAAACGACTTGGAGGCGGACTGTCCCGATTGACGAGGCCCTCGTAATCTGAAAACAACACACACACGCGCAAGTACGTAAATGACTTCTCGTCAATGAGATGGTAGATTTGGCAGTCACTTTGCACACTGGCCTTTTTGTGCTAACGAAGTCGGAGCGATACATACTGGCTGTCGCCATCGTGTTGGACGGCGACGCCGTCCCACGTCAGGTTTAGCATTTCGCTGATGCGAAAACAGCCAATGTAGCTCGCGCAGAGAAGGAACCGATACAGTGCCCCGACAAACATGTGGGACGAGGCCAGTGAGTTTACGAGCAACGACAGCTCGTACACTGACAGTGAATGGGACTTGTTTTCGTCGTCGATGTTGTTTTTTGTTGTTGTATTTTTGCAAACCAACAACGTATTGCTTGGACTCAACGTCCCGGGCAGGGTTTGGGTCGACTTTGAGTGCTTGGAAATAGGCGACTAGCACGGTCTTGGCGGAGTCGACGGTTCGGGCAGTCTTGCCGAGGCTGCAGAGGTGGTGAAAAAAGTCCGTTCATGCCCCTGGTGTCGCGCCCGCAGGGTCGATTGCGAGGACGTCCTTACAGAACTTGACAAACTGGTTTTGATAGGTTTGGTAGGTTCGCAAGGTCGACTTCGATCGGAAGGAACCTTGGATGGTTGCCTTAGGGGGCACGGTGGTTGCGTTCCTGATGCTGAATTTCTTTTGTTCTAGGGGTTGATGAAACGTGGCTGTATTTTCAGACGACATCTACGTATTAACGTCCAATCATTGGGCCTACATGTTTAATGTTGGAGTTATGTTCTTCCCCGACATGTGGGTCGTCCAATCAATGATCTCAATTGAAACATGTTGTCGTCCAGCGAATCACGACAAACTAATTGTCGGGATTGCCAATACAAACTCCTCACGATTTATCGGTTCCCAGGTACAGTGCTGGCCATATAAGTGAAAGGTACAACACTTTTTCGCTCTAACATTTTGACTCGTACCTCAAACGTCAATAGCATTCGTAGCAGGTGAGTAGCAATGAAGAGACGAATGTTTTGGCATCAAATGACCATGGTAACTCGGCATCAAAGCAAAAAATCTGTAAATAGTAAAATGAGTACAATTATTTCTGGCCATAAGTGAAAGGCACAAAAGTTAAAAGTGAACTAAAACACCGAAACATAATGCGATGTTAATCGTTTTACACACTAATACTTCGTACACGACCCCTTGCCTCGCAGAACATCGATACAACGCGATTTCATGGATGCAATAAGTTTGAGGAAGAGCTTTTGGTCAATGGCATCCCACTGACGTAAAATCTCAGACTGGAGCTTCGGAGCCAAACTACCTTCCATTTGCATAAACATTTTCGATGGGGTTTAGGTCAGGCGAAAGCGCAGGCCAGCTCAAAAGAGGAACATTTTGTTCCGCCAAAAACGCCCTGGTTTCTTGACTGGCGTGAATGCTCGCATTATCTTGTTGACACACAAACCCATCAGGGTGATGAGCATGGACAAAGGGCAGGACATAATTCGCCACCGTGTCGCAGTAGGCATATGAGTCTTGGCGGCCTTGGAGGACAGCAACTGCCGTCCGACCTTGACTTGAAAATCTGTCCCAGATCATCACGCCGTCCCCACCATTTTGACGGCTCAAAAACTTCTGCTCGTCCTTACGGACATCATGCCAGTAGTACTGGAGGTCATCAGGGCCATCCAGATTGAACTTCTTTTCATCGGAAAAGACAACTTGGTTCCAGCCGAGACCAAGGTCAACGTGAGACTTTGCCCACCTCCACACGAGCCTTCTTGTGCACTAATGTGATTCGAGGATTTGCTTTGCGCTTCGTGTACTTGTTGTGCGGAGCTTTAAACAAGATTCGACGAACCGTACGAGTCGAAAACGTAAGATGTAGGTCATGTTTAATCCCGCTTGAGCTGGATTGTTCTACGGATGCAAGACGCAGGACGCGTCTTTTGTCCCTGGCATCGTATTTGGCAGGTCGTCCAGCACGAATGGGTGTCCCATAGGTCTAAGGCGACCTTAGGTAGCTGCAAACACACCAAGCTCGTCGGCAATGCGGCGAATGGTGAGTTTGGCCTTGCAAAAGGCCACGATAGATCCACGCTGCGCAAGCGTGAGTGCGTATCCTTTTGGCATCTAAGAGAAGCGTGTGAGTCATAGTAGTGTATATAGGTGTTTCTACCAGTCTTGGAGTGGTCGTAAATTACAGTAACTCTGCGGTGGATTTTGAATTTTGTATTTTTTACATTTGGCCAGGATTTTTGCCGCTCAAAAAATTATTTTCGACTTTTTTCTATGTGTATACATCGTTTTAGGTATTTAGAAGCATCAACGTGACCACAATTTTAATTGGCGTGAACTGACTGAAAGAGCGCTTTGATTGGATACAAATTGTGAATTCTACAGTCGAAAGGCTTTTGACCTTCCAGCAGTATATAAAAATCGTCCAGTTTCACACTAATTTCATTCACACACTAAATTCCATGTTGAATTGGTCGAAGAGTGGATTTGATTGGCCACTTGATTAGTGTTCTGAAATTTGATTGGTCGATCGATTGTCTGCCTATTTGGAGCTGCTCATTCGATTGCGCCGCGGACTGTCTTGTTCGTGAATACCTTTGGCTCGACTAGGGTCGGGGCCCCCGACCCCACTCCCAGAACATCATCGGTGGCAACGAGGACATATGACCTCAAGACGGCAAGGCAATGCCTCCATGGCACTCGCGTGGTAAAGCGTTTGATATGCGCTTGGGGCTGGGCATTGTTTTGCGCGTCGTGGTTGGTGCAGTCGACGCCATGCAAACCGTTACCAGGCGTTTCAAAAGACCGTTACATAATACTAACTGCAATATATACTGTCTAAGTGTCTACTTACTGTATACCGTTATGAACTTCAATCATTGAATTTTACTTGCTGCCATTCAATACCAGCAAATTTGGGCAACACTACACCACCAACACCTTCATAACGGTATACGTAGTATGAATTATAAAGTCGACTTAAGCTCGCTTCTGCACGAGGTTGTGCGCCTTGAGGCGGGTGGCATTGATGCGGATGAACCCTTGGGCGTCGCTCGGGTTGTACTCAATGTTGGCCCCGCCGCCTTCCAAGTCCATGCTCGCAAGGTCGGCGCTGTAGAGCGCCACGTTCGAGTACCGACCGATGACCGTGACATTGCCCTTGTACAGCTCCAAGTCGACATAGCCCGTGACGTTCTTCTGCGAAAACTCGATCGCATGGCGCACAAAGTCCATTTCAGGGGCGAACCAAAACCCGTTGTAGCAGAACTCGGCAAACTTGACACTGAGCGAGTCGCGCAACTTCATCACTTCGCGGTCCAGGCACAACCCTTCCAAGTCCAAGTGCGCCGCGCGCAACAGCGTACCCCCCGGCGTTTCGTACACTCCACGCGACTTGATACCCACAAAACGGTTTTCTACGATGTCAATGCGACCAATGCCGTGCTTCCCGGCCACGCGGTTCAACTCCAAGAACAGCAACAACGGGTCGGTTTCGTCAACTTGAGGGTGTGACAAGTTGGACACCTGGACGGGGATGCCAGCCTTGAAGTGGATGCGGATGGACTCAGACTCGTTCGGGGCCACCTTGGGGTCCACGGTCATCTTGAACATTTCTGGGATCGGAGCTGTCATCGGGTCTTCGAGCATGCCCGATTCGTACGACGTGTGGTACAAGTTCTCGTCGACGCTGTACGGGGCCTTGGGCGTGGCGTCGATTGGGATGTTCTGCTCGCGGGCGTACGCAATCAAATCCTGGCGGCCCTTGAACTTTTCGATGAATTCGAGGTCGCGCCAGGGGGCAATCGTCTTGAGGTTGGCGTTGAGCGCTTGAGCACACAGCTCGAAGCGCACTTGATCGTTGCCTTTCCCCGTGGCGCCGTGGGCGACGTACTGGGCACCTTCGGCGTTGGCAATCTCGACCATCTTCTTCGAAATAACGGGGCGGGCGAGCGATGTCCCGAGGAGGTAGCGGGACTCGTAGATCGCGTTCGCTTGCACAGCTGGCCAAATGTAGTCGACGACGAACTCCTTGCGCAAGTCTTCGATGTAGACCTTGGACGCACCCAACGCAATGGCCTTGGCCTTGACCTTGTCGAAGTTTTCGCCGAATTGGCCCACGTTGGCGCAGTAGCACACGACGTGGAAGCCTTTGTTGACGAGCCACTTGAGGATGATGGACGTGTCGAGGCCGCCAGAGTAGGCCAAGATCACTTTGTCACCGGGGTTGGCCTTGACGCTCATAATGACAATGTGACAGCTACCGGTAGAATTTACGAATGAGGTATCGTCGTGACCTTGGTCGAGATCTTTCGGTATTTCGAGCGATCTGATTGGCAGAATAGAACTGCAGAAACAACCACCACTTCAACTTGGCAATCAAAACCTCCCATCAACCAGCATAGGCACAGTCAGTCACGTGGGGGCTGACTGGCACTTCGTGCTATGTGGCCGTTCGTAGGACCCTTTGGCTGGTTACAAGGATACCAGCATGTACTATATACACCACTTGCGGTTTGCAGTGGCAAACACGCAAGTTGCATCCATCTACTTGGTTTTGATTGCGCAGCCACTGTTCTTGGATGCAACTTACATAACCATAGGTGCAAGTCAAGAAATCTTTCTATTTCGTTATGGTAGCTTTTGACTTTGCGCTGCCTTTTGCACGAGGTTGTACGCCTTGAGGCGGGTGGCATTGATGCGGATGAACCCTTGGGCGTCGCTCGGGTTGTACTCAATGTTGGCCCCGCCGCCTTCCAAGTCCATGCTCGCAAGGTCGGCGCTGTAGAGCGCCACGTTCGAGTACCGACCGATGACCGTGACATTGCCCTTGTACAGCTCCAAGTCGACATAGCCCGTGACGTTCTTCTGCGAAAACTCGATCGCATGGCGCACAAAGTCCATTTCAGGGGCGAACCAAAACCCGTTGTAGCAGAACTCGGCAAACTTGACACTGAGCGAGTCGCGCAACTTCATCACTTCGCGGTCCAGGCACAACCCTTCCAAGTCCAAGTGCGCCGCGCGCAACAGCGTACCCCCCGGCGTTTCGTACACTCCACGCGACTTGATACCCACAAAACGGTTTTCTACGATGTCAATGCGACCAATGCCGTGCTTCCCGGCCACGCGGTTCAACTCCAAGAACAGCAACAACGGGTCGGTTTCGTCAACTTGAGGGTGTGACAAGTTGGACACCTGGACGGGGATGCCAGCCTTGAAGTGGATGCGGATGGACTCAGACTCGTTCGGGGCCACCTTGGGGTCCACGGTCATCTTGAACATTTCTGGGATCGGAGCTGTCATCGGGTCTTCGAGCATGCCCGATTCGTACGACGTGTGGTACAAGTTCTCGTCGACGCTGTACGGGGCCTTGGGCGTGGCGTCGATTGGGATGTTCTGCTCGCGGGCGTACGCAATCAAATCCTGGCGGCCCTTGAACTTTTCGATGAATTCGAGGTCGCGCCAGGGGGCAATCGTCTTGAGGTTGGCGTTGAGCGCTTGAGCACACAGCTCGAAGCGCACTTGATCGTTGCCTTTCCCCGTGGCGCCGTGGGCGACGTACTGGGCACCTTCGGCGTTGGCAATCTCGACCATCTTCTTCGAAATAACGGGGCGGGCGAGCGATGTCCCGAGGAGGTAGCGGGACTCGTAGATCGCGTTCGCTTGCACAGCTGGCCAAATGTAGTCGACGACGAACTCCTTGCGCAAGTCTTCGATGTAGACCTTGGACGCACCCAACGCAATGGCCTTGGCCTTGACCTTGTCGAAGTTTTCGCCGAATTGGCCCACGTTGGCGCAGTAGCACACGACGTGGAAGCCTTTGTTGACGAGCCACTTGAGGATGATGGACGTGTCGAGGCCGCCAGAGTAGGCCAAGATCACTTTGTCACCGGGGTTGGCCTTGACGCTCATTGTTGTTGTTGTTGACTTAGTAGATTGAATATTCAGAAATGATCAATGCGCTGTGTTGTGAACTTCCGTGGCCGTGTCTTTTCGATGATTCTCCACAAGAATTTGATTGTCCATGCGCGTGCATGCATCACAGTTGCAACAGTGGAATTCCAAGTTGAAGTGGGCAAAATGTTGACCGCTGAAACATAACATTGTTATATATATTATAAATGGATATTCACAGTGTCAACCAGATTTCTTGTTCGGTGTGGAGTATGATATGATGGATTGTTATTAATGTAACGATAACTTATTAATAACAACTTATTTATACTACTATTATTTTGTATGGAGCGTCGGATATGATTGGCTACATGAACCATCAATAGTTTTGGCCAATCATCATGGCATAAACAGAAATCTTGCGGCTGGCAACGACACAGCACAAAAACTACAATCCCCTTCCGATCGTCGCTACCGGTAGTGATAAACACCATGAAGTTGGTCAAAAAGCACCTCTCATTGGTCTTGCAGAGTACAACTGTAACAATATATTCTTGAAAGATATATACTGTATTGGGATAGTGTTATGAATTCTGGCTCCGTCGTTGTTAAATCCGTCCATTTTCCACTTTGATGGTGCAATCAGTGCATCGATTGACACACTCACATACAGTAGTACTACCGGTAGATACACGTTAACGTTGTTGGAAACCAATCAAGGAGATGGTTGAGTCGCAAGTTTGCGTCTGCCACTTGCTGCCTCATTGCTGGCTGGCTACACCTGAACAAATATACCAAATGTCAAAATCACCTACTGGTACAGTACAACCAATCACAACCAATCGTAAACTTAGCAGTAAAATAGATGTGCCACTTCGGACAACGTCCCACAAAGCCACATGATTGGCGGGGATTCGCTGTTTGCCCAATTCGACAAGTCATGTGTGTTTTTCGAATTCCCCAATTCAGGCGTAGGTTAAACCGGGTGTTCAAACGTCGCCTCGTTGATTTAAAAACTCGGACCCTCGACGAGTACCGTTACTCAAGGCATTCATTTTACTGACACAGATCGTAGTCTCACTTGTGCAAGGGGTAGAGGTAACGTGCAATTATGCTGCCATCGCAGAAGCCATGTACTGTATTGCGTATATATGCTGCTGCTAAAGTCGAATACTGTCGTGACTGTTAAAGAGATACGGTGTGGTATTTTAGGATTGTACTTAGACAAGGAAACTACACATTCGTTACATGAGCCACTTGACACGCCAGCAGCAAATCCGTGGATACACTCCCGTGGAAACCAAGCGTGCATAGTTCAACATGACTACCGCCACTGCCACCTTCCTAGCACCCGCCGCGGTGGAGCGCAAAGCCGCCGCCTCGAAGAAGAAGATTCCGCTGGCTGCCAAGCTCGTCGTCGGGGGATTTGCTGGCATCTTCGGCGTGTCGGTGACGTTTCCCATCGACATCGTCAAGACCAACTTGCAAAGCTCGTCCGCATTCACAAGTCCTCTGCATTGTTTCCGCACGTTGGTGGCCCAAGATGGCTTCCGTGGCCTCTTCCGCGGCCTGCCTCCCACGTTGGTCGGTGTCATCCCGGAAAAGGCGATCAAATTAGCTGTCAACGACTACTTGCGCGAGACGCTCGACACGGAGGGCACGGGCGTGTTGCCGCTGTACAAGCAAGTGCTGGCCGGGGGCGGAGCTGGGCTGTGCCAAGTGGTGGCTACGAATCCGTTGGAAATCGTGAAAATTCGCCTGCAAACCCAAAACCACCTGCCCGCAGCCGAACGCCAGTCGGCCACGCAAGTAGTTCAGGTACATTTCACGAGTCAACCCGCATGCCGTATAATGGCTTACCTGGGAGTGTCTAGGAATTGGGACTTCGTGGACTGTACAAAGGCACAACCGCGTGCTTGTTGCGCGACATCCCCTACGCCGTCATCTTCTTCCCCATGTATGCGACCATTCGAGACCTCGGCACCGACAAGGACGGCCACGTGTCCATGGCGTCTGTCGTCTTTGCAGGATGCACGGCGGGTGCTACTGCCGCTGGCTTTGTCACGCCAGGTACAAAACCGCGTCCAACTCTCGAACTCACAATTCAAAACATATCCCTTGTTGTTGTGTAGCTGATGTGATCAAGACCAAACGGCAAATGCGCGGGGCCAGGTACAAAGGCACGATCGACTGTTTTCAGCAAGTGGTTGCAAGTGGTGGAGTCGCTGCTCTTTTCAAAGGTAGGAAGATTTCCAACTTTGACGAAACTCTTTTTTATTCGACCAAGAATGCGATATTTCACCAATATCTGTAGGCGCGGGGCCTCGGATGATGGTTCAAGCACCCCTCTTTGGCATTACTTTGTTGGCGTTTGAAGTGCAGAAAGCGTACATGGAATCGCAATAACTCTATTCCACCAATACAGAACAAAAAATCCAAGACACAAATAATCCGATTAAGCGCTTGATTTTTCCACTACCTATGGTGCTACAGTTGTCGTGGGAGGTGACTCCCGTCGACGTCGTTCGATGTCTGCCACGCGGTACCATTCTGCAAACACGTGAAAGCCTGCCCACGGGGTCATGTCCACTTCCCCGTCAAGTCTCAAGCTCGACCTGCCCAAGGCAGACAGCACTGCCCGCCGCTGGTCTGCCTCGTTCGGTGTATCCCGAGTGCCTGCATCAAATGCCTTGCACAACTTGTGCAGTTGTTTCAGCGGTAACGTGAGAACGCCCCGGAACTCGGCACTGAAGGCGTCCTCTTCCGCCATGTGCGGCCACTCGAGCGCCGACTTGCCATTGGCGACCCGCACGCGGTAGAATCGCTTTCGCATGCGGTCAGCGACTGACGACCGCAAGTGCTTGTTGAGCCGGGCCGCGCCCATGTGTTCGGACATGATGTTGGCAGGCACGTTGGTGGTTTTCAGAGCTGCATACAGCAGCACGTTAGCTGGAAACGGGGCGACGTTTCTCGTAGGGGACAGATCTAGGGTTGCACGTGACGGGATGACGAGTCGAGAGCACAACTGGACTTGACCATTGCATCGAAGCAGCATCTACACACACGACACAACTATCATCCACATTCGGAAGGAGATGAACGATGTATACCAGAGTTGACGCGCAGTTGCTGGCAAACGATGTCCAATCTCGTCCGTGGGTGGGTCTCTTGTCAAGGGGCTCCCATGGGATGATACAGCTAAACTCGGAAGTTCCGAACCGTTGACTTGGATCTTTGGCAGTCACAACCAACGACGTGGGTGCCAAGACGTCGTTCACCGACATGGAAACGGCCAACGTCACTGGACCTAACAACCGAATCACACAGATGTATGTGATGCTGTAGATATATGTGTAAAGGATAGCAACAGATTGAACACACCGGCGTCAACCAAGGGCACGTCCATCGTGGTCGATAAAACCCTCTTCGTGTCCAGCGCATGCCACGTCATGGTCGAAAACTCGAGCGCTTGCAAAAAGCGATCCACAACGCGAGTCGGCAGCGACGACACATCCTCGACACCTCCAACATATTCCAATTCCTTTTTTGAAATGCGCGTGACGAACGCAGGTTGCACTTGGTCTGAAGGGGGCCACATCGGAGCTGTCGACTTGTTGACGCCGTCATAGCCCTCTTCGCCTCGCAAAGGAAGATGCGTGTGCGACGGCTTGGCTTCCCTTGTCGCGCGCATTCGGTCGCTTGCTATCGACCTCCACACAGCCCCCTTCGGACCGGGTCGGGGCTTTTTGGGCCCCCCCACATTAAGACTTAACTGGAGCAGCCTTTCGACCAACGGGAACGACCGACAGAGGTACAATGCTTGGCCGCAAACAAAGGTCGCCGTCAGCCCAGACGCCCGTACGTTGGCCTCCGTGTCGGTTGGTTGGGGCGACTGAACCACCATGTGACCGTGCAAAGCGTCGACTAGTGCGAGGTCTGGGGACCCCAACAGAGTGGCGAGCTCAGCCAGGTCAATAGGCTCATGAGCAAACACTTCTTCAATGGGTTGAGAGATGTCTGGCGGAATGAGCAACTGCCAGGCCGATCGGGGAGTTGATGGCCGCAGAGTGATCACTCGTACAGGGCTGATCGTAAGTGCAAGTTGGTTGGTGGTACTGCCAAAGGGGTCACAGAATGTAGTGTGGAATGACCCCATGGCACTGAGGACGCTCTGCTCGACGTCGCGGACCTGTGCCTGAATTCCATCTTGGATTGTACTCAAAGCATGGTCGAGTTCTGTAACCCGAATAACCCCCCCGCGCTGGTGCCCCGAAAGGCCAGTGCATGCGAGCAACTGGTCGGGGAACTGCAGCAACGGATGCAGCGTTGCCATGATTTTACACAGAGTGCGCCACGGTGACTGGTTTCCCAGCTGAACACAAGAGGGCCACATGGATTCGGCAATAGCCAACTCGGAACTGGCACCACATAACCAGGTGAGCGCTCGGTTCCTTGCCGCTTCTCGAGGGATGTGGCGAAGGCCAAACGTGCGTTCCCCAAGCACATGCGATACATCCACGTGATACGTGACTACGACACCAACCCCTCGTCCGTACGCCACAACTTTCCAGATCTAATTAGGCGTTAGAATCGTTTTGTTGGAAAAATGCGCTTGATTCCTACATCGTCGTCGTCTGTTCGTTGAACGGAAAACTCCACTTGGACCGGGCGCGCGAACATGGCGACTTTGGTCGTTTTCGCCAGTAAGCGTTCCGGCGGGACTTTGTGCAGTGTCGTAATCGGCTCCAAGTAAATGCACGTCGGGGCGTAGGGAAATTTGTGAAGCCACTGCAGATTGTGGTGGTCGATGGTGAGGCGATACTGTTTTGGGGTGTCCAGCTCCACTTCTTCAATGTCCATCGATAGGATGAGCTGGCTTGCAAGGTATTGTCGCTGCTTATCGAGATGCCTCGTGTGCAGTGCATTCAATACGTCCACCTTAGCTCGAAGGCGTTGCTGTGTGGCTTGTATCTCGCGCAACCACGTTTGCATTGTCGCTTGCATTTGTCTAAAATGTGAGGTTAGGTTCTTTAGGCATGCCCAAAACAGCATTTTCATCTGATCGCACCGCTTCATACCAAACGCCACTGCATTGCGGGTATCGCGTTCTTCCGACTCCATTTCACGGCATCGGTCGCGTTGTAGTCGAATCTCCCACTCGGAAAACAACTCGGCGCTAGTTGGGTTATGGTGAACGAAAGCACAGACGTATTCGCATTACCGCAGTCGGAGGTAGACGTCGCCTTGTCTTGGAAACACTTCCAACTTGGCGTGGACTGCCTTGCCCTCCTTCGTGTACACCACAGCCTTATCGAACGCAACTGGGTCCACAACATGTTCGAATTCCGTCTAATCCCAGGTCTAAGCTCAACAAAGAGAGGCAACGCTAGCATTTGGCGTATACCTTTCGCCGGAGCACCAAGCTCCACTCGGACGCATACTCGGAGTGCAGACTTGTGGCGTCTACATCGCACGCCCACGCTCGTATTTGTTGGTCGGGGACCTTTTGCGCAGGATTCCGCCACACTCTAGTACTTGAATGTGACGTTTGACTTTGTACTTTGGTTGTAATTACCTCGACTTGTCAATCCAGGCGTTGAATCCAAGGATTGCGTTGCTCACCACATTTCCCGCCACCGGCACACTCGTCGACACTTGTGTGGGCTCAATGGCGATCATGTCGCGGAGGAAGGCATACTCGTCCAGTTGGGTTGGAACCCCGAACATGGCGCGGCGGCCGCTCGGATCGAGTGAGATTTCGCCACGAATACTGCAGTTGGGACTTAGTCCCGTGATGGTTAAGTGCTGCCACAAATCTTCGCGCATGGTCACGAGCAGGTAGCAATGCCGCACGAAGCGAACGCCGCGGAACACGATCTTCCCAGCATTCGCCTTGGCCACTTGAAACGACAGAGTCGGACCGTTCGCGTTGTCAGGGAGGTACACAAGGTGCTGCAAAATGGGCTGGAATATGGCGTCGCTGTAGCGATTGGTTCGAACGCAGAGCAGCCAGTGCTGCAGCTTGAACGGGGCGCCTTTCAGCACGAGGACAGTCTCAGCCAACGAGACAACGCACGTCGCGTATCGCCTCGTGCGTGGCTCATAGACCTGAACAGTGAGATCACCCCAGTTTTCATATAGGACAACGTGGCACAGTCGCCCGCTCACCTATGAGGTATATTAGCATGAACTATAGTTTGTTTTGCACTAGTTACATTTGTAGCTTGACGGTACACTTCGTCGCCGCGACCTCGCTTTCGCCCTTGACGTAGGTCCTGCCACCAATGGCTTTGAACGATCTTCACACAGAGCGTCTCTCGAACCCGGAAGAACTCGACCCGCCCGAGCGTAATCTCACCCGAAAACGCGTTCAACTTGACCAGACTAATCAACGCGTGCGCGCATTCCGTCATCAAGAGCAGCTTGCGACTCGCAGCATTGCCGTGCATGGTGGTCGTAGCTGCCACCTTCATGTGCCCTTGAATGAGTGTGGCTAATGGGTCTCGGAATCGCAGCCGAGTTGTCAGGAGCATCACGAAGCGAGCTTCGACCCACATGTCCACCACTTGGCTGTCACAAGGGCGATACCTAACACAAGTGATAGTTACGACACTTGTTCGAAATGCAGTCCATTTGAGTACATGGACACGAGCGCGCCGGCGTCCAAGCTGGCCGTTTCGGCCAACACGCGCACCTCCACCATCCAATGTTGTCGCGGTTGAAAAGTCTGGCGAATCGGCTCGGCGCACACGTGCTTCGCTCGAGCCACCACTATGTAGTAGTGTCAGCGTCAAGAGTTGCACATTGAGCATCACATCCATGGTTCGTACACAAGTTGTAGTCAAAGTCGCGACGACTGACCACAGTGTGCAATTTCGTTGGTTTCACGTGAAAGTGCCACTGAGCCGTGTCAAGCAACACCAAATTGCGTCGAATCGGCAACGACGACGTAAACCTCAACGCTAGTAACGCACTCAACGTTTGCAGGGCTGTCCCCAACATCAACGCCGCCGTGTTGGCCATCGCGCGGAATTCGTTTGCTCGCAACCGAACCCGTTTGGCCATGGCCGCCGCTGCCTCGTACCGCATCTACGCATGATAATTTGTTACTAAAGCATGGTGACGTTCCTTTATTACATTGGCTTGCGCCGTGGATGCGCGGGTACTGGCTTCGTTCATTTCCGCGTGGAACCATTCCATGCGCGCCACTTCCAGTAGCGCCGCCTTGTCTGCCGCGTCGCGATTGGCTCGTCGCTTGGACACCAGCAGCGTCCAGTTGTTTGCGTTTTCAAGTGGATCCCACGGCTGCTCCTCCGTGAGGCTGGTTCGAGCTCGCTCGGAGAATGCCATGGCGGCCTTGGTTTGACTTGTCGACTCTTTATAAGCGATGTCCGCACGCTTGGCCTGTGCGGTGGCCTTTTGGAACGCCACCCACGAGTGCTTTTTCACTTGCAAGTTGTTCGTGTGCAGGGCGCGCCACGCCATTACCTTTTGCCACAAGGTTTTGGCTAATGTTTCGTGGTACTGGGCTTCCTTTTCGACCCCCAATGCCATCGTGTGGGCCATCTAAATCACACTGTAGCCGCACAACGTACGAACACGATTACCTGTGATTCATAAATAGGCTCCCAACATCTTCGCCGGCGTCCTCCCATACACCGCGGGTCGTAATTTAAGATTCGATCCGTGGGAAGGGACTTCAATTCACAAGCGCGGCGCAACACCCTACCGAAGAATAGGTTACACTCATTGAAGACTTGGTATCTTCTTACCCATCGACTCGGGGGCGAAGCAACTGTCGCACGCGCTCGTTGCCCAGCTTGAGTCTATACACTTGACACGTCGCGGGGTTGTACGCCCGGACTAAGAGGCGCTCGGGGGGATGCTCCGATCGGCAGCAACATAGCATTTGATCTTTTTGAAACTTGAACCCGCGCACATGAATCGATGCGTGATAGGCTTGGCGAAGGCAGTATTTGCACGGCAGACCTACGTTTGTCGGGAGGGATGCATGCAGGAGCGCGTGCCACGTCACGACAACATGCTCGCCGTCGAGCTTCAGTGTCGTCGAATACGCTGGTTTCTCAATCTTCGCAGTCGCAGTGTGGATTGCTGCAATGGTGATGCTGTGCACGAATTGATGGACGGTCTTACAGACCAGCTCTTGAAACTAGGTGCAAGTTTGAGGATGACGAAATCGACCTAGGAAAAATACTTGTATTCGCAATCGAGCCAATTGACGCAAGGCCCTAGTTCGAGCGCTCGATTTCCATTTGCCCACAACTTGTCGCCACCACCGCTGAACCATCTCCACCGCGTCATTCAATCGATCGAACTTGGCCATGAACTTGACCAAATTCGACGCTTCCAGTTTCACCTACCCACGGCACTAGCATTAGATATACATACTATTCTAGGTGATCTTTGAGTCGATTGGCGACTACCACATCGCCTCGCAATGATTCCGCTTCGAGTAAGAACGCCTCCATGTCCTGCCGGTCGACGCCTTCCCACCCCAATTGCATGTACGCGCGTAATTTCAGGATAAACGTCCGGCGATTCGATTGGGTTTTTGTGCCCGTGTCATGTAGCTGCTTGTGGAAGCGCAGCTGCCGCAGGTGCTTTCCACGCACTCGAAAGTTGGCCCATTCGCCTGCGTCCAACCGACACCACACGTTGGGCTGTCGGAACGCCCGCGCCGGACGGACGTGCTCGATGCGCAAGGCGGCGCAACGGTCCCAGTACAACGCTTGCACCCGACGGAACCGTACGACATCGTCGACAGGGTCGGTCTGCAGTAGAGCCACGGTCGTCTTGCCCGCTCCTTGGTCGGTGGAAGTGGTGTTGGTGCGCTGGACTTCGTGCAAAAACACATCTTGCGCTCGCTGGATCCGATGCATATCCAAGATCTCGTACCGAGTCCGGGACAGCGATGATGCTTCGGTAGTTCTACGCGAGGATGAATGAGTCGCAATTAACGGTCGTATTTTTCATGTACATGACGTGGTAGGGGCTTGCAATGTAGGTTTCTTGGGTCTCGGGGTTTGTCCACGTCACGACCTGGTTGTCGTGCACGGTGACGTCGATGTCTGGGCCCAACAACGAAGCGTCGACAGCGCTTTGAGGGACCGCTAAGGTCATGAATTGATCTGGGTCTTGGATAGAGGCTCGGGGAATCAGAAATGGGTTGCCGAGGAGGGGAAAATCGGTGCCCACGTGCACTTGCAACGGCGTAATGTGTTCGAGAAAATCCAAGTCGGAGCCCATCTACTTGGGTGGATCACATGCAAATATTATTCAGGAACGATCGAGTTGTACTTTTAACAGGTAGTTGAGGCCGTGCCATAGGTATGTTGGGGTCCACGGCTCAGAGTTCGAGTTCACTTTTGCTCGGCATTCGATGCAACTCGACTTTTTCTTCTTGGTCATGTGATGCCCCGTAGTTGCGTCATCGCTTTCAATCGCGAAGTGCACCCCACACGACAAAAACACATATCTAAATGTCATATCCATCGGCATGGTATCTTGTGGAATCATATAATTATTTTTAATATATATATTATCGTTACCGCTTTTTCGGCATGTGGTCCACCGTAGTGTGCAATCGCTTGGCCTCTGTCACCACTGCACAGTCATACGCACTCTCGGCTTCGACCTACAAAAGGAAATTTGACCTTTGATCAAGACTACGAGGTCGTTGATTACTTTGGTTGGAAAGTAGCCCAGATACCGCACTTGCGTTTCAGCCTCGCCGTCGACGTCGACATCACGACAATATCGTTTGACCTACGCCGTCGCAATACACCATTGGACCGTGCCTTCAGTGGTGACGGTACCTTGGAGTGAAACGCGTTGGATCCCTTGAATAGCAACTTTCCAGTCGTGATGGTGATGCTGGCACTCCACCCAAACTTGACTTGGTCCTCGTCCGACGTGTGCAGGGTGGTGACTCGACCAATACGTTGCACATGATCCCGCCACTTCTCGATGGCTTCGATCACGTGCACCGTGATGAGGCGCAGCTCATTTAATTGCACCACCAGTTTTTGCACTTGTTTCACCGTTTCCTCGTGCATATTCGCCATGTACTTGGCCATGGCCTTGTCCGCCACGGACGTCATGCGCTCGATCGTCAATTCGCGGGCGGTGATGGCTCGTAGAATGGCCAAGTCCAGCTACACCAGCAGTGTTAGTTGGTTGACATTTTCCCACAAAAAAATTGAATGGCTGACACCAGTCGTACGTTGGCCTCAGTGGCGAGTTGCCATGTTTTCATCGTGTCTCGTTCGTGGTGGGAAATGAAGTAGTGCCGCTTCGAGCACACGGGGGTGACGTGGCAGTGCCCGAGCACCCATGCCCGACACAAGCGACTCACGACGTGCGGCCGCGACGGAACCATGGGCGACGCCTCCGTATGCACAGGTTGCATCGTGATGGCCTTGTCATCGGCGTGTTTGCTGGCATGATCCACCTTCCGATGGGACTCTTTGATGGCTTCGGCCCTCGTCTTGGCTTTGACTTCTTGCGTGGCCAGCCAACTGCCAATCTGCTGCATCACGCGAAAGTCTCGTTCGTTGTACAGGGCTCGGAATTTGGCTGGCAGTGGCATGATTTCACCAGTCGAAGAACCGGATACTGCCATGTCGTCTGCGTTTCCAAACTCGTTGGTCTCGAAGCTGAAGCGCTTGCGAAAGAGTTCGATGCCCATCACAGACGTGTACTTGCTCGCCCCGTCGTACTTGCCCGACAACACGTACACGCCGTTCACTTCCGACAAGCCCGCGCCACTGACAATCCACGAATCCACGGTCGCCTACGCTCGATCGTTCGATCATGCTCATCGTTCGATGCCTATTGTATCTTGGAAGGGTGCTTAAACGTACCCGTTTGTGCAGGACAACGGGGGCGGGGTCCACGGCATGGTCCGAGCAAGGAAGCCACCGCATGTCGTTCTTTGGGGTGTCGAGCTGTTCATCCGACGCTTCGAAGTATGCGCCGTAGAAGAGGACCGTGTCCGAGTTCTTCTCCGCCGTTTCAATGATGCCTCGTCGACCAAGGAGCCACACGTCGCACTGGGCCGGCGATATGCTGCCATCCGTCGCGCTTACCTCTGGAAGGGCCAGCGTATTGAAATGCTCATATGGGTGTGCCAGCTTTGTTTGCTCCAACGTGCTACGCAAGTGTGCTGATTACGTTTCACGATGGTGTCCAATGGATCAACCTGATCGTGGCATCGGCATCGTGGCGAAGGGTTTCGCTCTCCGTTCGAGTGGCCACGATGGACCTCCACAGCAACGCCCGGTCGTCAAAGCACAAGTTGGGACCGTTGTTGATCAAGTCCATGGCTTTGTTCTTCAGCGTTTCGGCCATCGCATCGGCAGCTGCCTCTGAAGGTGTCGACATGAGCGAGGTACATATATATGTTAGAACACATAAAGCAGACAACCTTTTGCTTTCGCTGTGCGTTGGGCATCTTCCCAGTGGTGCTTCTCATTGGCGTAGTGCTCAAAGGCCGACGTTCGGTCAGCCAATGCCTGAAACTCAGCTGCAGGTAAGCCAGGAAGCGCTCGAGGCAAGTCCTTCTTGGGGTGCATGGATAGTTGGAGTTCTTGTTCCTTCCGCAGCTGCATGAGCTTGGCCTCCATGAGTTGCTCTAGAGACTGAGAAGTCGGTTTGTCAGGCTTTGTGGCATATCTTTGGGCGTGGTCTATTTGACGTTGGTGTAGTTGAGCCTTGATGACTTGCATTCTGTCCGCCATGGCGCCAGTGCTCTTAGCAGCTCGGATATGGGGAAGTGTGTCTGCTTCATCTGCATTGTTGCTTGGTGGGTCCGAGGCAGGCATGGTGGCACCACCTCTGGCGCATGGACTAGTCGACGCGATGCCCTTTCAAGATTGTTGGAATCGACCTGGGTATAGTATAGTATAATCCGATCAAGCTACTACTTCGTCGATTTGTCCGGTAAAACATATTCGGATCCGTATATTCTGTGTGTCTGTTTTAAATACTATTCTTGTAATCCTACTCCCGTCTTAAACGTGCGCTGGTTCCTTTTCCTCTGGCGGCATGGACCACATCATGGAAAACACGCTCGTGATGATCCGATCCGCAAAGGACAAGTCGTCGTCAGACTTGACTCGATCGCCGCCACTCGGAGTGTCCGAATTCCCTTCGAAAGTTTATCAAATGAAACGATAATACCACATGCTGCCAATAAAAAACCTCTATACCTCGATCGAACGTTAGAATCAGCGGACGGTAGCCGCCTTGCAGGAGCAGCATGACGTGCTTAAACGACGCATCGTGGATGGGATGTCCGTTCACAGCGACCAATTGATGGCCTACAATGACCAGTAAATCGTCCAAACTCAAAAAACAATAATAATAAAATACCTGGATGAATTTGCCTCGCTAGCGCCGCGGGGGTATCCGGGAGCACTCGGTGGACCGACGCGCCTTGATCGATGGGGAAGTTGGGTTGGAACATGATGCCAATGCGGCGCTTCTCGTGAAACTCCATCGAGTACTGGGTCGATGGCGACGGGAACGAAGTGTTGTCGAGGCCAGTGGTTTGCACTTGGATGGGGTGTGTGCGGGGATCGACCCACGTCGTGACCTTGGACGTGATGTGCACAAAGTAGACGTTGCCGCTGGTCGTGACCCGCATCTCCCACCCCGGGGGCAGCGGCGTCTGAAAGTCCTCGATCTTGTGCACCAAGCCATCGTCCACCGGCACAGCTTCCCCTTCGCTTTGCTGGGAATCTGGATGATGGTGACCCTCGTCTACGTCATCTACAATGCGTGCATGTGACGTGTATATACATGTATAAATGTACCAGTAGAAGGAGGAGGTAGCATCACCGGCACGGGGCCAGCCGCCGTCGCGTGCTTGAGCTCGGCGATCATGTCCATCTGCACCACAACGAGCTTCTCCATCTGACTCGTCTCCCTCGCCACTTCATCCAACGTGATTTTCAACGCGGCGATCAGTTCGTCCTTTTCCTGAAGTTGCAACTCGACCGGCTTCTTTGCACTAATGGTCATGTCTGTCGTGGCTGGGGGCATGTCGGAAGTCTGCTGCAACTGCAGTTTGTACGCGTGCAGCTTGACTTCGAGGGATTGATTGGCTTTTTGAGCCGCGTGCAACTCTTCTTGTAACGACGACGTGTGCGCGTTAACCAGGGTTTGGACGTCGGAAGCCGCAACCCAGGCACTCGAGTTGGTGGTGGTGGAATCCACGACGAGGGGAGGCCCAAGCAACTACACAAGACACATGCCCTTCATCAATGATCGTGTTCAGACAGAGGAGTATGCACAGTACCTTGATGTCGCGAAGGATGGCGGCTTCGACCTGCTGCTTCTTGTGGCAGAGTTGACGCACAGCCGACGCGATCGGCGCGGCGATTTGAGCCAAGTTCGAGTGCGAGGATTTGTCGTTGGCCAAGATGTAGTCTACTAGCTTTAGAGCGTTGCGTTCGATGGATTCGGACAATTGCCCGTTTTCAACGTGGGAATTCACGATCGTACTCCACAGCTTGTCTTGTCGAGGAAGCAGGGGACTACTATCGGTGGCATGGGCTGTAGTTGTATGGTCGTCACTTGTCGACGAAGATGGCATATCTGGCTGAGTCAAGTGAGAGAGTTCCTTTCCTTTGAATCTCTCGAGCACTTCTCGCCCATGCGCTACCAGAGCTTCCTTCCGTTCCATCGGCGTTGTCGCCTGCCACGCGCACTTCGAATTTTGCGTAGTACCAAATATAGGACTATCTCGCATTTCATTGGCCAAAATACAAACACTGTTGTGGGGAAATTTCCCCACGTCTGCTAAGGAGTACAAAACGGAATAATTATTCACAAACCTATTATTAATATAACGTTGTCTCCAATTCAAAATAATACTTACGAAGTAGTATAACTCAAGTTATGCTAATAATCAACACCCCCACCAACCTGGTAGTGTCGGGGTGTGGGTGCTGGCAATCCTACAGACGCCGCACGCATTCCAGGAAACAACGCAAGGAGGTGGTTATGTGGGGAAATTTCCCCCTTCTGCTAACAAGAATAATTATTAATAACAGTAATTCGAAAGCGATTAACTGTTAATGCAAGTTGTGCTGGAATATGTATCTCAACGATATATATATAGTAACGTTATGGCGAACAAGTAGTGTGTGAGGTTACATGAGCTTTCGAAACGAAAGCACGTCAAAGCAAATGTCGCATACTCGGGCGGCAGGGACCTGGTCGAATTTCGGCAACGGAATCCGATTCGTCGAGCAAGTTGCACACACGATGCGACCGCAATGGCGGCAGTGATGCTTCCGTGTGGCCATGCCGAACCCTTCCCCACAACTCAAGCACTCGAGGACCGTGTCGTCCGTCACCCATGGGGGCGGCGTCCGGACGTTCAGGAGCAGGGGCACCACCATCACGCCCTGGGACGTGCTTTCCGCCAAATTCACCACACTTCGTCCTTGAATACGACGGTTAGCACAATCTGTAACATCCCCCGCGATACTCGTTAAACGACGACGTACCTGCCACATCTTGGACGTACACCGGGGCACCCGCACGAACCAGCGCGATGGAGATGGCTTCGCTGGCCTTTCCCACGGCCAAGTGCAACGGCGTGCTGCCGTCTAGACCTTGCACTTGGATGTTCGTTCCATGTTCAATCTGCCCAACACGATAATTGAGTGGACGAGGTAACGGCAATGGCCTTACAAACATGTCGACGACGGAAGGTGGGCCGTCGTGGTGGGCGCAAAACAAATGCAGCGGCGTATACCCTACTCAAACATACTGTAAGCGAAATCCAATATATATATATTATATATATATATCGTTGCGAAATTGTACTAGTAGCACAGTACCAAACCAGTTGGGTCGGTTTGGGTCGGCTCCGTTTTCCAGCAAAACTTGCAGGATCTTGTCCACTCGTCCTTGGGGTGCCATGGCCGCCAAGTGGAGCGCCGTGTTGCCTACCAACCACCCATCTCGTCGTTATGTTTGTACGTACGTACAATCAGTGGAGGACACACTCTTGTAGTCGTCGGCGTCAATGCTGAACGCGGGCTGGTCGGTGTCGAGCTCCCGCTGAGGTTCCGACGTGTCGTCTGCAGCAGCGATATCTTTGGACTCCATCGCTCGATCTTCGCTCATTTTCAACAGCACGAGCACCACACTCGCGTACCCATTCGCTGCTGCCACGTGAAATGCCGTCTATGTAGTACCACCCCCCATGAAAAACCACTCAGCATGCTTCTTTTCATAATGTACTTGGCCTTCTTCGTCCACGGCCGTAATGTCGGCGCCATGGTGCACCAAGAGGCTCACGACCCCAATGTCCCCTCTAAACGATCCAGCGGTTGATTTCATATGCATCCTCGTACGAATATTTGCATGAATGGAGTGCCCCACCTCATGGCCGCAAGATGGAGTGGCACTTGGCCTCGATTGTTTGGAATGTTGGGATTGCACTTGCCGTTGTGTGCCAAAAATACCTCGGCGATCAGCTACTCTCACAACAGTCGTCGATATTTATATATATTAGAAAAATCATCGTATTTTGGGTACCTCGTTGCTAGCATAATGCAGGGGGGTGTTGCCTTCCTCGTCTTGGAAGTTTGGCACAGCATGCAGCGACAGCAAGTACTGCACAATACTCACATGTCCGAATCGGCTACGATCTCAAACAATCATTAGATAGGTATCAACATGGGATGATAGCAAGTGCGATAATATTGTGTCCACCTTGCAATGTGCAGGGGCGTCTGGCCTTTGCCAAACTCGTCGCTCGACTCCACCACCGAAATCTCGTTCACGTCCGCGTGATGCATGTCGGCCAGGATCTGGCAGTGCAAGACGTTGCCGCTGGCACACGCGAGAAGGAACCATACGCTCACAGAGCTGGTCAGGGTCACCCACGACAAGCTCGCGGGCACCAAAACCCGGCGGATGATCGCGTCGTTGGCCGAATTCAAAGCCGCGACGAATGGCAGCACCCCCTGGTCGTCTGGCAGTCGCAACGCCTCCTCTCGAGACGGCCCGTCCTAAATCAGCAGTTCAAATTACACTGAACAACACACAAGTAAACATCAGGTAGGTAGTAGTACGAGAAGGGCGTCGACGACGCGGAAGTTTTGGTGCTGGACAGCTAACACCAATGGAACGTTGGTCCGGTCGCGGTAGATTTGAAGGAGGCGGTCGGTGGAGCATTGGTTGGCTTGCATGAGTCTGTCAAAGGTGGTTCAATAGTTTGTTTACATGACGATGTAGATAGGCATGCAGGCGTACGCTTGCATTTGCGCATCAGGCATCGCCATGATCGTGGACATACATAGCGCCATGAGACGATGTTTGGCTAGCCCCACAGCGTCGGTAGTTGGTGTGGATTGCGAGGTTTTGCTGGCCGAGTCGACAAAGTAAATGATATCCATGATTTGGTTCTGGCAGTGGACTAGCAGCGTTTCGATTTCTTCGATGCACAGCACCAATAGCGCCGGGACATCGTATCTATAACGCAGTCGCATGAGGCATCGCTCAAGTCAAACACGCGCAATGAACTCGGAGGCACACAGGGTTCGAGCGAGGCCACCTTCTTACCGAGTGGCAGCCTTAACCAGCTCCAGCCAAAACGTGCATAACGATTTCGACGTGTCAACACCCTCGTGATTGGCAGTTGGGGTCACAGGCGGTGGTTGCAACGTGCCTGTGTAGATGTACCGCAGCAGCTCTTTGAAAATGACGTAGGGCGTGTCCTGGATGACCATCTTCAGTGGCAGTCGGAGTCGTTTGTCGCCCAGCACTGTACTTGTATAGCTGGTAGAGCTCTCTCGGAATGCTGTCCGAAATGCGCCGGATCGAAGGGAAAGGAGAAGTCGATGGGCAGGCAGACTTGTGGAGGTCGAAGCGCCATCGTAGAGCTCGTGGTGCGACGACCTCGAGTTGTCTGGCGCTGGGAAGTGAAGAACGACGTCGCTCAAGTGGTTGTTCATAAACAGCTGGCGAATTTGGTCTTGCTCGGGCTCCCCCAACACCGTGTGCACGTGGCCATTTTCACTCGACCATGTCCGATCCTTCATGGGTTTTATGATATTTTTCATGCAGAGAATCTCCACATTTCTGTATCCGGATGGTTTAACAGTCCACACATGTCAGTTGTAATGACACTTCAAACTACCGGTAGATCACAAGTGCTTGCATTATGAAGTGGACTGCATGCAGCTCACGACGCTTATCCTTCGGCAAGATCATTGAGTCTTGCAGATGTGCTAGACGCGGTGATTCCACAGCCCAGCAAAGCAACTATATTTAGCCCTCTTGGTTGGCGTGACAACGTGGCTCTTGGCTGGTATGGCTCGCGTGGAAGGGTACCGATGCCCCATCACCATGCGCACGACTACGATTCAACCGTACGACGTACCTCGCTTTGTCAGCGACATCATCAGTCAGCTGCATGAGATCGGCCATTGGACCACGCGATGCTGCGCAGTGCTGAACCACACGACGCCGTCGTCGTCGACTCCCGCCATTATCAGCTCCACCGTCACCCCGAGGGACGCACGGGTGCCCACGACGATCCTCACAGAGATGGACTTGATCAAGCGGAATCTGAACGTCGTGGAGAAGCAGCACAACACGCGGCTCATGTCGGAGATTGCGTACTTGCAATGCGCCCTCCGCAGCGAGGCCGAGGAGAAAATGACCGACTTCGAGCGCTACGTCGAAACCAAGATCAACCAATGCGTTGAAGAGGTACACGTTACCGTCATCTGCATGCCAGATAAGGCTCACGGGGGCGGGGTAGCACACCAAAAAGGTGCGACAGGAACAAATGGAAACCTCGATCGCATTGGGAAACCTGCAGGATGGGTGGAGGTCGATGCAGTCGGACGTGGCGAGCCTGACCCAGCAACTGCAAAAGATGCAGTCCACCATGGAGATGGCCGCGAGTCGGTCCGTGGAGATGATTTCGACCCTCCACGACCAGCTCAAAGAATCGTCCAAGCTGCGCGACAAGCACGAAACCAGTCTTGGCAACCAACTCGTACGACGTCTTTAGCTGGTATTTCTTTTCAAATTGGAGTTAAGAAATGATGGAGTAGTCCCATGTCAAGCTCCAGCTTCAGGAGTCGAGCCAAGCAACCAAGGTACTGTACACATCATCCCACTGTAATGGGAACACGACATAGCTAAAGCTGTTTGGGAATGCTACAGATAACCGTGGACCAACTAACGACCCGCGTCGACATGGCTCGCAACGAAGCCAAGTACGCCATGGACCAGCTCAAGCTGCAAATCCAGCAACATGCTCGGACGTTGAATCGGGTGGCGAAGGGGTCTAATTTGTTTGAAATGATGTCCCCCGTACGGTTTACAGTGTCTACATGTTGTTATAATATTTACGATAGGTACCTACAGCCCCAGACAATACTAGCCCTCAACGTATTATGGGAGATGAATCGACTCGGGGGGCGTTTGCACCGCCGAGTAAGCGGCGACCAATGTCTGCTCGGGCTTCGAGCTCATCGCAGCCAGCATATGTGCAGCCAGGTATATTGGTCGACACGATCGATATGTACAATATATATACTAGTATATATCAAGTTGCCATTCGTAGCGTATTCAACCCACGCATTTGAGTTTGCGCAGAGAGCCACCGCACCCGTCGCATCCAATGGATCATTTAACATTCAAGGGAAGATGTGCCACGTGTCAACTCCCCCCGACTATGCCGACGACAGCGTCGATGTCGCCTGCGATGGGGGGAACAACCAACATTCCACAGCACCCCCTCCGGAGAAATATGCTGGAGGCACCACCCAGTGTTTTGACCACCGGATGGTCCCTCCATGTTATGTGATGGAGCCCCACAAGCGGCCGAACAACGACGCGGCACCTCAACCCACGACCTTTGGCTTGGAGTCCTTAGGCAAGACTTGTGACCAAACGCGACACGATGCTAATGACAGAACGAGACCAGCCAAGGCGCCGCTGACTCGAGCAGTTCCAAAGGCAAAGTGGGGGCCTCAACCAAGGCAAAAAATACCCCAGCGGCCAACTTCAGCAAGACCACGACCGACCACCAGCATCTCCAAGGCAAGCGCAGCCTCGTCGAAACCCGTGCCTGATCAGGTATGACTTAGCAACGTTCTGACTATTGAAAGAAAAAGTAGTTGTACGAGGCAACGAGGAATGACTTCGTTTTGGCATATTTCGAGTAGAACGCACAGCCGCCACCAGCACACATCGGTGACGCGTGAGAGCTTCCAGTAGCCGACCCACGGGCCGTGGCATGGTCTACATCTGCAGCTGGATCACCCACAACTAAGCTGAGGAACAGATTTACGGCCTTGCAAAGCTCGAGGTCCATGCGTTCGTACTAGTTTTCATGGTTATGCAACTCCGAATTCGTGGATGCCAAGTCGCTCGCATTTCATAGCTACGACTCCAACGAAGGTCCTAGAAATCGGACTTGGACGTTACCACGTTAGGGCCCTACTGGTCGTCGAGGAGCTGCTAAGTGCGTCCGTACCGCTTGACTTCGCACTTGGTTTCGCCTTCCGCTGGCTTCACCCCGCTTGACCACGTAGCTGGACCGTACCAGAGCTTGCGCTCGGTGTACTGGGCCACGACCGACATTGCATGGAGGGCGTGTTTGACATCGTCGCATTTCATTGTGACATCATCGAGATCCATTCGGCGCTCGCCCCATTTCGCCTCTTGCATTTGGGTCGTCGTCCATACACTGCTGGTTTTATTCGCGCCGCCAAGGTCTGCTGCTGCGCTGTCCATCATTCAAACGTCACACGGCCTTATGGACCCCTTTTACGTGAAGGTGGTATATATTGAATTGTTTAGCTGCCAGAGTACTACGATGCAGAAGTCAGAAACCGGAGCTTGGACTTTGGCACATGGGGTTTGGCCTTGGTCTTGGTTTTGTCTGGCCACTTGGCGGAGCAAAACGTCAGCGCTTCGTCCACCAATGTGGACCAATACGGTTGCTCTTCCATCTTGAGCTCTTGGTACAGATCCAGCATGAGCACGTCGGGGCCGGCAGCAGGCGACTGGGAGTACTGAATCAACGTCCTTTCCACGTGGGCCACCGCTAGGTCACACCACTTGATGTTTTGCTCGTGCACCACCACGTACAGCGCATACGACAGCGCCACTTCCCAAATCCAACTGCCCATCGATTGCCTAAGTTGGTCAATTTCAAAGAGGATATATATATATAGTACGCCCTACTCGTGGGACGTGCGCACTCGATGCCAAGCTTCGTTGTACTCTAGATAAATCGTGTACATGCGATTCAAGTGGGCGAGGACTTTGGACTGGTAATTCGCTTCTTCTTGGCTCGGAAACAAACACTTGACAAACAAGTCGAGCAGTTTTCCCCGTGCCAATTGGCTGCTAGCAGACAACGCTTTCAGGAGCATGGCGTCCACCACCCAGTGCTCTTCCTTGCTCGACAGCACCCACGACGTCAGGTCCGACACGCGCTACCCATCGCCTTTCATACCATCGGTTAGCTACTAGTACTATTCGTACCTGTGAGTCGCCAGCCAACGTCATCGTGTGCAGGTAAAACGTAAAGTACTTCAACCGGAGTTGGTCGTACTTGGCCTGCTGTTGGTGCAACTCCTCCAAATTGTTAGTATCTGCCTCCGAGAGCCAAATCGCCACGACCTGTTGACGTTTTCGGTCGAATAGGGGCTTCATGGCTTTCACAGCCGACGGAAGGGTACACCGATCTGCCCAAAACTCGTTGTCGAGATCCACCACGGCTTGACCGTAGCGAATACCCCATGCATACATGTAGTACGCTGGGTGGAAGTACCGGTCGTCTAGGGGGATACGCTCCATGGCCTCCAAGCAATTCCACAGCAAATGTTGGCGCGCCTTCCAGAGCGACGCATCGTCCCCTGCCAACAGCTGACCGATCCGGTCCTGCGTCCAGTCCAGTCCGTCGTCGGTCGACATGTCACTACTGGTCGATGGTTTCACCGGTCGCTTCACGTAAAAGTACTCGTTGACCAGCCGCAGCGCGTGGACGGACGGGGCCAGTTCGTCCCGAGTTTGCTTTTCACCCGACTTGTTCACGGGCGCAAGCAACAGCTTGAGTCGGCATGCGTGCAGCTGATAAAATGCATGGGGAAGCGACTCGAGGGTGTCGCTGCGTTGCCGGTACGTCTCGGCTGTGTGAAAGTACTCGAGCGCCACCTTCCACTCGTCCAGACAGTCAGATCGATCCTTCTTGATTGCATACTTGGTCACTTTTCCAAGCATGTAATTTAGTCGCAGACCGTACTCGTCGGCCACGTCGGGTTGCAGCAACCCAAGCGCAAAATAGTGTTCCGCCAGACTCGTGACAGACCACTCGTCACCACAGGTTGACTCGGCCAGAAGCCTCCACACCAACAGCCCTGCTTCTTCGTAGCATGCAGTGGCCATGGTAGGATCGAGAATCGCCGCCATATCGCAGCAGCGGAGCATCAGCTCGCCCAGCACCGCCACGTACTGCGCGTATACGAGCGACATTTCTCGGGTTTTGTACAGCACTTCCCGTCGACTCGTGTCGTCGTCGTCCGCGGCTTGCTGCACAAACTCGATCCATTCCATAAACTGCTTGAAGAACGGATATGACGTGACCGCGTCAAACGACAAGGCATTTGCGGGCGTCAAGTCGACACATGACTGCTCCTTGGGGTAGGTAAAGTTGCCCCACGCGACGATCCAGTGGTCGACAAGCATCGCCCGCAACGACTTGATGCAGACCGCGATGAGGCGATAGGACTCGGCGCGACGGGGATGCAGGTACAGGTCGTTGCGGAGGTACTGGATGTACTTGATGCACTGCACTTCGTACACCAGCAGCTGGGGGTAATCGCGACCCCGTCGCTTGACTTTGGGCAATGCAAAGTTGGATGCCAAGTCGAACCACAGCGCCTTGATCGGGTTCGGCTGCTGCTTGTGGTTGGCGGACTCAACATCCCCAGAAAACGACATCGGACAGATGACGTGCGTTGCATGGGTTGCAACTGGATTCAAATAGTCTTTCAGGGCGTTTTGAAAATCTACACCAAGTAAGGGTGACAATTCTAGTCTAGTACTACTATTAGTACTGGTTACCGTTGACAGGGACCAGGGTTTGCAGCGTTGCCGTGGTGTCTGGAAGCTCCAACACGCTGGTAAACAGCGTCGCAGATTCCTTTCGCACGAGCTTCTTGTCGGTACGTTGGCAAAACTGAAACAGCTCCATCAACGTGGTCGGAGCGGTGGCTTTGACGAGGTCGTGCCCGTGGTGGCTCACGCACGTGGGCAAGAGGCTGTACCCGTACAGGCACGCAAAGCACTGTGCCAATTCCTCGTCCGTGTCGTCTTCTTGCGACTGGCTCAGCATGCTCTTGGCCACTTGCAAGAAGCTGCACGCGTGGGTTTCCAGCGTGCACAGCCCCCTGCCCTGCAATCCGTCGCCAGTCGTCATGATGTCGTGCAGCAGCCGCACCAGCTCCACGCAGGGGGTGGCGAGGCCCTTGTGGACATCAAACCACACGAGCGCAAACGATGTACAGGACGTGTACAGTAAACGTCTGCCATAAGAGAATGTGATGGTGGTGATGCTGCTGTGATTTCTCCATAAGACAAGAGAGACCATTTACCGTAGCTGGGGGGTGTACTTGCCGACGTCGACTTGGTGCTTGATGATGTGTGCGATGGGGTTACAGAGGGACTGCGCCAGCTGCGCGTCCAACAGGCGCGTGGATTGCATGGTCGGGATGAAGCATCGGTTGAGCTCCTGCAGCGCTCCCAACACCATCGACACCATCGCGTCGTGGGGCGGCTTCGATCGCAAGTCCATGATGCCGTGGCAGGTCTGCAAGATGCTGCCCATAAATCGGATTTTGTGGAATGGGCTCAACAAGTACGCGAGTCGATGGAGCATTTTGGCCGACTTGTGGTGCGTGAGCATGACGTCTCGGTAGCCAAAGCAGCAAGCGTCCAGCAAGTGCGTAAACAACGCGGGCTTGGCAAAGGGTTTGTCAAACACGAGTTTCAACTGCGAGGCAATGTACTTGATGCATTGAATAGAGGCATTGCCAGGGGGCTAGAACGAAATCCACAAGTAGTTATTCATCACAAAGCAAGAATTAATATATATATATTGTACAACGTACAGTCGTTCGTTGCAAGGCGTAGAAAAAGCACAAGACTAGCACTTCAAAGCACTTGTCAAAACGCTGAAGGCGACTCAGGCACTGGATTAGCACGGGGAGAAGCGGCAAGTTGTCGTGATCTGGGCTGGGTTTGTGGATGTAGGCGGTGTTGGCTGGGTAGTTTCGCTACAACTTGCTAAGCCAGCGAGATGCAAACTAGTACATATTAATACCAAATAGACACAAACGTCGGTCACTAGCTCATTAATATGACCGGCTTGGCCCAGAGTCGGGTCATAGTGAGGCAAGACAAGGTCAGCGATCTGTTGGTCGGTCGATTCCTACATATATACTTGTCATGTGACAGAGTACATTGGACAACGTACACCACGCTGGAACAACGCTCTCGCGTCGATAACCAAAGACGCCAGTTGAAACTTGTGCACTTTGGCTTCGATGGCACTGGTTGAGATGGTTGGGAAGGCCTTGACATGTCCCAGGTGAACGTCGTCGCGTAAAATGGCCTTCAAGTCAGCCACGAGTGCCGCTACGTGGTTGAATCGGCCAGCGTATTCGCTCAGGTGGATTTGCAGCCACAACAAGCGCGGTTTCAGAACTTGGTCGTCAACAGGATCTTCCAACTGCATCAAGTTCAGAAGACATTGGCATCGATGGAGGGCGAGGTCGAAGTCCGGGCGGCTGTGGGTCATGGGGTCGTAGTTCGAGATTAAGTCGTCCACTTGCAATTCCAAGATGAAGAGGCGGGCCGCACGTGAGAGTTTGCTTTGAACATCTATTCATATGAGATATAGATATAAAACGACTGCTAATGTACTACTACTAGTACTACTAGTCTATGCTTACGCGATACGGGGAGAGGGAGGGGGCCCAGAGTATCGTGAATACACTTGTCCATCCACAACAGCACTCGCACGAGGTTGTCGCCTAGGACCACATCACATCGCTCCACGCATGTTTCAATGTAACGGAGCATCACGTCTCCGATGCCCCTATACGAAAGAAATACATAAAACTCCATCGCATGTGATTCCTGCATGTGTCCTACTTGTTGGAAGGGACCCCAGAGGCACACATCGCCACGAACGACGACGTGTCAAATGGTAGCGCCACGTCACCAGCAGGTTCCTACAGCCGATGCAACGTGCATGAGAAAACACTTTGTGAAATCGTCGACGTAGTACCGTTTTCATTGGAGTACTCTTGGCAGGTGAGGACGCTCCAGCCTTTGTGAGTGCAAGGTGGTGGCTGACTGCTGCTCCGTCGCTAACCATAATGTGGAGGGACGCTCCATCGCCACTGAGTTCCGCTCGAGTCGGCGACTGAATCAGCGTCGCAGGCGGTGGAAGATCCGACTCGGCGCCCAAAAACGCCTAATGAGCGTTCCGTTTAGTAACTAGTACTAGTACTACTAGACAAGCAGCGGTACCATCAAGCGATAGGACACATCTTTTTCCATGGCGAACTTGGAGGCGGCGAGTTGTTCGTCTTGCAGTCGCTTCAACGTGCGATGCGACGTCCGTCGGTAGTGATGTGACGACGGTGACAGGGGGGCACAAGACGACGACATGTCTTGGGGCACGTCGTCGCCTGGGGTCGCATCGGCGGCAGTGGATTCCAGCTTCTCAAGGGTTTCGATGGTTGGGGTTTGCACTGGAGTAATTTCCATGGTCGGCGGCGGTTGGGGTTGTTGTGGGAGGACCTCGTCGCTTGGTTCCTGAAGCGTGTCTGTGATACGACTGGCACTGTCGAGAGCGATGTAAATAGGAACGTGCGTCGTCGGGCGAAGTGGATCACCGGCCGACGTCTGCACGTTGGCGTCGTGTATTTCCAAGAGCAAGCAACCCAACGACTCCCACGAACGGTCCAGTAGCTTGTACACCAAGGGGGACAGGGCTTCGTGTTGAACGGTGTCGCAACGTGTGACATCGTTTCGACACTTTAGTACGTCCACAAGACCAGGTGGAACCCGTGACCTAATAATTATACACCATCCTTAGCACGTTTTTACCAGTTAAAAGCCGATAGCTGGACGATGTCTCACGTGGGGGCCGGTGAAGGGTGCGTGATGGAGGCCTTCAGATAAAGTGCAGTCTCATGGTGTGGGTCGTGCATCAAAATATGGTCGATCACTTGGAGGGCGGCGCTGTCATCTACATCTTGTGAGGAAATATGCAAACGGAATCGCGGGAAGACCTTGTAAAATGTACAGCGTGGACGCGAGCTTGTATACCAGCGGCCAAAAAGTGGCGTCGATGCAAAAGGCCCGCTCAAATAGCATGCGCGCCAACGCAAATCTGCGACGATGGTGAGAAATGAATGAATGAATCGAATCAAGTAGCCAACGTACTGATGCAGCTGAAACGAGATGCACCCCATGTCGTACCAAACGATGCAGTCCGTGTCGTCGATCTCCAATGCCTACAGAGTAAGTACACTGCCGTCACAACCTAATGTCGTACGACGAGGATCTCAGAGGTACGTACCTCGGCATAATGCTGCAACGCGTCTTGGAGGAAGGGAGGGTCGTACTTGGCTTCAAGGCGCGCCATGTTTTTCAGACACAAGTACAATATCTTGCGCGTCGTAAAGGAAGGGGTCCGCCCCATGCCCTGGACGTGCTCCAGCATATCTGCGTACATCGAAATGGCCACCTAATGATGCGAACGTGTTAGGAATGAAGATAGATAGCAGTATACATCAATGTGCACCTCTGGAACATGGTGGGACCTCAACGCTTTGTCGTAAGATGCTGTGAGCCTGGCCTCCAGTGCTTCTTCTGTTTCGCTGGACACGGATGCGCTCTTCTTCTTCTTCCAAGCTGCCGTTGACGGTGACATTGGAGAGTCCACTCCAGAGCCAACGTCATTAGAAAGTCGAATGCGTTTCACGCGCAGTGGAGACGACGCCGACGGACGGCCACTGTTGATCGACGCCCATGACGCCATCGCTCCGTGGATTTTTTCAACGTTCAATTTCGCTCGAAATATTCGCGAGATGCGAAGTCGCGATAATATGAAGTATATTCGACTTAAAATAAGCGAAATTGCCCTTCAAAATGGACGGCACTGATTGGCCAGAAAGTGAATTTCAACAAACACAACCTCACGAGCAAAGTGCAAAGTGCAGCACGACCACGTTGCTCGCTGCCACCGGCACCAGGCGCAGCGCTAGGAACAGTTTGGCGTTGTGGACTCACGGAGCCCTCAGTCGAGCTGTAATGGTAGCACCCTATGTATGGTGGCGACAATGCTCATCGAATGAGAAGTTCGTTTCCCGAGCAACGGGTAGTGGCTGATCGTCGCCAAGCCCCCATGAGTCAAATGTTCGTGCACACAAGGATTATGGAAGCACAGGAAGAAATCGGGGAGAGACATATGCGTATCAGAACACCAGGGAATTGAGCTAACCTTCGTGCGTCCCGATGAGGGTGGCTTCCAAGCGACGCGTTAGTGCATGAATGTCAAGATCTCACGACACATGCGGCCCATTGAACACTAGGCAGGCGATGCCTGGCGTGGATCTACTCTAAATACATCGTAGTACTGTATATGTGATTCAAGTGGGCCAGGAACTTGGGCTGTCGACAAGTCAAGCAGTCTTCCTCGCACTAGATAGCTAATTAAAGTTATACAGGTAGCAATAAATGTCGCCACGTGGGTGGCAGACGATCGGAACCTCTTCGATTGCCATTCGGATCATGTGGCCGTAGTCCCCTCCAACGCAGCTCCTCCCCCGCGACTATGGGGTGGACTACCGAGCGTGTCACCGAAGTACTTCCAACCATTTCCGGTAAACCTAACGTCGCTGTCGGTGCCACTGCAGCCGCGCCCTCCGTCCAGTCGGGTTCCACCAAGCAGCCGACGGACGGCTTGAGTCCAGGCACGACCAAGAAAGGCCGCTCCGCTCCTCGTGAACTGCCCATGCCGCCGGAACCCCTCTTGACTGAGTGCAAACGTCGCGGCTGCGTACGAGGCGTTGGTGGCTCAAACGCCGTGGGGGCGGTACCAGCATTAACAATCGTTCGCCCCCGTGGGTTTGCGCGGCGATCCACTTTGGGCAGCATTGTATGACGCATTGGTGGACTTTATTTGGAACAACCACGCCCGAGCCATGTGGGACCGATGGTTCTTGGAGCCATCAAAAGGTCCCGACAATGGACTCGAGGACCCTCGTGGGAGCGATAACTGGCCTGACGGGGTGCCTGCACCGCGTCGTCCAGAAGCATGACAACGAGATGTTGGAATTTCTGAGCTACATGTACTCCCCCCCACGCGTTCTAGCCGATTTACCTCCAGAAGGCTATCTCTCTTAAGACTGTACAAGCCATCAATAGTGACGAGGCTGTCGCGGCGTGTCTCAATGACGAGGGGTTGCAGTGATGGCCAAAGGTGCCACCCATGTCGAAGGCGATGCAATGGCAAAACCCTTTATGGCGACTGTGGCCAACCTACACAGTAGAGCGTTCAAGCCCCACAACATTGCCAAGTTCGACCCTGAGAACGCAGAAACCACGACCAAGGATAGTGTGCGGAGGTTCTACGTATACGCATACAATTACCGAGCCTCTGCGAGACCAGGGCGCCGCTTCCCCTTCGTGGTAATCAATTCATTGTCCGTCCGTGAATAAAGCCTATTTATAGAAGATTTCTGCCTGCGTGGTCAATAAACTCCACCATGCCACTGCACGGAACCATGAGCCACACAGCCCATTCCAAGAAGAAAGCAATGGACCCGTCCAAGCTGAGCCGATACGTCGACAGCCCATCGTCGTTCAACTTTGATGGACAAGTTGTATCCCCTTCATTCGAGGCTATGCAACGTTAGATGTACTCACAACACATACACACCTCTAGTGCCGCCCAGCGACACACTTGGGCACCATGCACCGATCGTGGAACGGGGAGAACTGCGATAGCACTGCTTTCTCGAGGCAACCAACCATGAACAAAATTGGGAGAAGGGTGTTCTCATAGCAATGTAGGTTAAGCACGAGTGCCAAGGTCGTTCTGTTGGAAAACGACAGCATCCAAGCCACCGTGTTGGGCACAACGCCGCTCTTCAATCCGAACGCACGCATCAGGTACTACAAGTACTTGGTTTGACCTCATTTGTAAATCCTTTGCCAAGGTGTCTCGAGTCTGAAATCATGGCCAACGCTGGGACGCCGCAAGCTGGCATGGTACGAAAAGAGGCACAACATTAATACTTGGTTGTCAATAGTGTTGTAGCACATGATGCTCTTGTCCCACGAAGCTTTGGACAACAGCACGCAAGTGGCGACTGCGAAAGTCGGATACGCTCGGGTGGCGTCGGCAGGGCTCCAAGAAGGCATCATGACCCCGTCCCAGCGTCGCGAGCGGCTGTTCTTGGACACGGCGTCCCAGCAAGCCAACGCCGTCAAGAAAACGGCGGAGATGAAGGAGCGCCGGCTGACCCAAATCATGTCAAACAAATATCCCCCTTCCCTTCACCCCAAATGCTGAAAAGGATGCGCGTAGGCAACATCGATACCGATGTGGGGTGTTGGGGCTGGACGGGCCAACGAATTCAGGTATTCGGCTGGAGGTCAACCCTAACGAGCTAACGGGGGTCACAATTTCTGGCAATAGAATCCGTGACATATGCAACATCGGCAGCGAACATTGACAAGAAACGCAGCCACGACGAGCGCCAGCATCACTCCCGTGAGGAACATCTGCAGCGGTGGGTTGGTTCTCCTTTGTCGTTGCCTTTGACTTGACTTGGATAGACACATGTCCATCATTCCGGCGTTGGGGTACTCGTACTTGTCGCACGACATGGCTGTCAAGCCGCCCCATGTGACCAAAGTGTGCCAAGAAAAGATCAAACTGCACGGAAAGCACCCAGACACCCACCTCCGCATTTTCAACGAAACCCCCCCGGTGTGGCATACTGAACGGTAACCTTTTTCGCATGAATGTGTCGATCTTGACAGAGAGGTGTTTGTATATATATATATATATTTATCCAGGGCACAACACTTGCGGGACCAAGGCCAAGCAGGCCGGCCGTACGACATTGTCAACAAGGCTCGGATCGAACACTTCCCACCAAGCATACGGGAAAAGGAGCATCCCCGCCAAGCACATCCGTCCATGGCTATCCACTCGATTTACAAACGCGACTAAAACTTCGTTATACTATACTAGTATTGTCTATACACTTACTCCATGCCTACTCGTTGCAATACGAGTATTGGATTTGCGATAACGTTACTAGTACAACCGCCGAGACCTATATCTTGTGTGTATGATGTATAGTTGAACTATTGACAAACATACGCCATCGTGCCACGTCACCACTCGTCAAGTCCGAGTAATTTGGCCCCCAACTTTGATGGGGTAAAGTCGGCAGGGAACCTAAACCAGTTAGAATGACGCCACCACAGCAGGACATTTGTATACGTACCAAGCAGTACGATCAAACGTGGACAACTTCATCGCAGGCAGAAATTCCTTGTCCTTGGTGGGGATCATCTTGACATATTGAACCATGCGAAAGTCCACACCATTGTTTGGAAAGTTGCTAATACAAAAACACATTTATTCGATTCACAAGCCACAGCGTCGTACGTATATATATATATATATATATATATGTATAATATATATATATATGTATAATATATATATATGTATAATATATATATGTATAATATATATATATGTATAATATATATATATATACCCATGCGGCAGCTGACTGTTCCAAATCAGCAGCGAGCCAGCCTTCATGGGAACTCGAGTGATCTCTCGGCGCATAGGATCGTCTTTCGGCACTTCAATAAAGTTCCTGGCCGCCACTTCAGGCAACGACCCGTACGAGTGCTCATGGTCCTACATTTGTCGATGAGAAAGGGCACGTATCACCGTTTCGACCTTGGCCCAATTGAAGAAGCGATCGTCGGTGAAGCCAGGGACGCAGTGAAAGCCGCCGCTTTCCACGGGGCAGTCACGCAACGCAATCAGCCCTTGCACTCGAACGCCTCCGTACTGCTCTCGAACATGGCCAAGTTCTTCGTTTGGAAGGAACCCTGCGGCTGACGTGCCAAAATGAAACGGACTCAAGTCCCAGTGCAGCCATTCGTCCTTGGTGGTCCAGTCGAGGTTTTTGTTCGGTTCTGTGGCCTCCACAGCTGACTCGAGCAGTTCGTGCGCGACCTTTCCTGGACGCATGACGCCATATCTAAGTGCATTTAGCATCCCTAGCGACGCCATGATGATGGAAGGTGGCGTACCTGTCGATGCTCACCCACAACTGGTCGGCCTCGAGGATGTTGGCAAAGGCTGTGTACACGACTTCGTTCTGTCGGTTGCGCCAGGATTGGGGCTGCTTGTTCAGAAACGTGGGTTCCAGCTTCTTCATGCGTTTCCAGAACGGAAAGCGCCCCACAAAGCCGCCGTTGCGACACACTTCTCGTGGCCACGAGTCGTTTCCCCATGAGGCGGCGTCGTCGCGATGGACCTTTCCATCGCGTTCCAGGTAATCCCATATTTCGGCGCACGATGCAATGCATTCGTCACTCGTCAGTACGTCGTCTATCACGACAAACCCATCGCGTCTGAACGCGGCCACGTATCCTTCTATGTCGGACGCCGCGTACGACCGAAAGTAGGTTGCCGCCATGGATTGCACAATTTGCCCATCAATCAGATATGCAGCAATACGATTGGACGATGCCATACGGACAAAACACGAACATTTTTCCGGATAAAATCTGACGCGGAAACGCCGCGTGTTTGTTGGGAATTCGATCATGGTTCCAGCGAGGTTGCTCTTGGCGTCGGCGTTGACGGTGGTGGCGGCGTCTGTGCCGTCCATCTCGATCGCGGGTGTTTCTTACGTCGTTCGACTGCACTCCAGCGTTCCTGACCCGTTGAAACATGATGATTCGGACGGTGAGAATCCATTGAATTTGCTCGGAGATCCCGTGCCTATGACCTCCAGCAACGGAAAGCGGTACCTCTGCTACGTCCCTGTGCAAGCAGATCTCCAGGATGAGAATGAACCCAATGCCAAGCTCAGTTTGCTGGACATCGCACGCGATGCCATCACCAGACTCAAGCCGCAGTGCTTGCCCACTGTCGAAACCAGTCTGCGTGGTGCGTACGAGATCTGCCATGGAAAGGTAGGCTTGTCCATCGACGAGGCTGTCTTAACCCATGTTTCTCGTAGAGCATTGCTGTGTCGGAGGTCGATGGCGTTGTGGCCAAGCACGACACCAAGCGCAAGCTTGGCTCGTTCCAGTCCGATTCCTTCCAACCAGGGTTCTCCAACTACGACTTTCGCAATGCCGAGCGGTACCCCGACGACGCACAGGCACGTCCATGTGTCATATATCGTTCAATCTCATGGAACAAATCTGAAGCAGGTGGTAGCCCGTCTGGCGCGAGGGGATGACGTGTACACGCAACTGTACGGCCACACCCCGGACGACGTGGCCGTCGTCGTGCAGTACGCTTGCTCGACTTCCCCAGTGACAGCGCTTCTGGGGCGCCGTCCGCCGAATCCGTCGGCTGCGACAGAGCTAGACCGCGCGGTGGCATTTGTCTTTGGATCGCGCTGGTTCTGCTTTGACAACGACGCAGAGTCGATCAACGACATCCACGTGACACCGTTCGCGCGGCCTTCGTTTGAATCGTCGCCATGCGTTCGACGTACTGAAGGTTGGCATTGCCGTGTCATGGATGTGCATGTTGAGATGCGTTGGATGTAGGATGGTGGACGTACGAGTACTGCCTCGGTCACCACGTGAGTCAGTTTCATCGCGAGCAAAATGGGGAAACCACGTCCGAGTTTTCATTGGGGTAGACGACTTTGCACACTAAGAGGATGGGCTTTAACACAACCATGATTAGAGTGCACGCCATGGACACGAATGCGGAGCTGGGGAAGTCGCGCAAGGATACTATCGCAACGGAATTCCTCGACGATACGTACGACAAGCCGCAGCCAGCGTTCGAGCAAGTGTACGAGGGAGGAACTCCCTGTGACGAGGTGGACCGAGCGCGGTACGAATCACTGAATTGAACGATGGATGATGATGCTACTAGGTCGACGCGGGTGCTGCTGTTTTGCCCGACCTTGAAGAAGCAAGCGCCGTACATCATCAGCATCCAAGAGAGCGCCACGTGCGCGTATGTCCTCAAAGTGGCCGTGCCATCGGTGGGACTATTCATACCATATGCCAATGCTTGCATTCATCACAATGGCTATTGTAGTTGTGTGACCATCCGTACTTTGCCAAGGACGAACGACTTCGCCTGGATTCGCAGTCCCAAACGATTCATTGCGTTCCCGCCACGGAAGCTGCCGCGACCACCGCCGACGCACAAGTCGAAGTGTCCACTTCACTTCCCATCAAGGCCTCGACGTCAAACGACGAGTTGTAACCAGAGGACCAAAGCTGACGTCTCGTGATTAAGTCAGAACTCTCGATCTTCGTACCATCGGTAGTATACGGTGTGCGTCTGTGCAGTATGGGGGCGTCTGAAGTGGTGCTATGTGGTGGACATGCAGTAACTAGCTTCCACGTGCTTGCATGTCATACAGCCGCGATTGATCCTCCATTCACAGTCAACGAGGGACATGCGTGCTGTTCTCCATGCGTGGAGCCAGTTCCCAAGACGATTTGTATGTACTGGTATAAGGAAACTTCTTGGGTTCGGGCGTTCCGTTGAACGATTTTCATGGCCCTTTTGGCTTGGATACATCCGATCCCGACGGCCGTTCAAGGTGGTCACTCCTATCCGGATGATTATCCGTCCATGTCGTCAAGTATTTAATTTTCACTTTATGTTTGTATGGTCAACGCCCAATTCTATTCGACTGACTCGACGGTTCCAACCGTTTCGCGGACTTTTTGGCCAAGAACTGGGTCTTACAAAGTCCAAGTATGCGGTGTTTGGCAGGGTTCGGTCAGTTAGAAGAACATTCGTATCCAATCAAACGACGGTGTCAGTTGTTCTTTCGTCAGCGATTGGTGCAACGTGGATTGCAACCCTGCCCCTAAACCTCCCAAACATAGTGGTATGATATGATAGAGGTATCAATTCTCATCTGCGCGAGAAAGGCCAGGTCTGTGCTGCGACAGTGTGGGCATATATAAATTTCAAGAGGGATTTCTTCTACTCGGCCAAGGGAATTGCCGGGTTGAGTGCCAATGTTGAAGTGCGTTTTCACTCAAGGCGCAACTTTACTTCGACGTATTTCCGGCGGAAATGGGCATCCCAAAACATAATATACCTCAGTATAACCTGCGATTGACGTCACTTTTGGATTTGTGGCGGCGTGGAGCATGGAGACAAGATCTTGCCCGTCAATGAATGAGTTGCGGGGCGTGGCGCGTGTGATGGGCATGAAGTACTTTCGACACCTAAGCAAACTCGAGCTGCATCAAGCGCTGCAGCGTCAGCTGCACCAAGTCGAGCGCGCGCAAGCAAAGGCTGACTTGCCCAAGCCAAAGGGAAAGGACGCGAAGGGGCGAGGGACCCGCCGGTTCTGGTGGCGAAAGTCCAAGAACAAGAACAAGGGGAACGCGGCAACAACATCGTCGGACGTCCAAGTCCTGAACACGTTGGATCCGATCATGCTCTCCGAGTTGGGACCGCATACGGTACTGTCGACTCTGGCAACCGATATACGTAAGCATAGCATGTACTTAGTTCCAGTTCGTCCGTCCGAACGGAACGGTCGTCGTGTACAATATCGACACCCTTGTTCAGTACATTTTGGCGACGGGCAACTTTTCTGAGCCGGAGACGCGGATTGCTTTCTCCGACGACGTGTTGAAGCAGCTCGATAATGCGGTGCGTGACCAATACCCTATGTGTATGGAGTCTCATGTAGAAACTGCCCAGGCCACTGCCGCCGGCTTTAAGTTTGCCAGCGTAGTAACAGCGCAGCAACAACGGGCAGTGTTTGAGCAAGAAAGAATCAAGCGGGATGGGTTGTTGGGTACTGCTGCTTGCTGCTCGTGGTGATGAACGTCAATAATGTGGAATCACAGGTTTGGAGCGATGCATGGGCGAAGTCGTCACGGAAATGCTTCACATTATCGAAGACGACGACGGCGAGGAAGGCGAAATGCGCTTGGTGATGGACGTGTTTCCATCGTTTGCCGATCTCTTCAATCAACTCAAGAGCAACGACCGGGAGTACGCGAGTCATTGCCACAAGCACTACGTCGAATACTTGCGCGGGCCGCCAAACCGCCCGACCGTGGACGAATCAGGCCTGTTTGGAGTGGTGCTGGACTTTATGAAGCAAATGGCGGGCAAGGCGCCGACTGCCCAAAGATACGGCGCCTAGTAGTCGAGGTTGAACAACCAATCTAGCTTAGTGTAGACAGTAGTTAGTCCATGTACGAGAGACGAGTAGGAAAGGGTAAGAGTCGTAGGGTAGTCAATAGCAGTGGTTCAGTCGTTCGTTGCCGACCTGTATCATAATGCAAGTAGTAGCAAGTTGTTCTAGTGCAAACTGTAGGATACCCAAGTTTGGCTTGTTTATAATTCAAGTTCACTTGAGCCGTTGTCCATGGACTGGGGCGTGAGCACGGTGACGCTGTCCCCCACATGGATCCAACACGGCGCCACCTCGTCGGTCGCGTTGAAGGCTGCATATTGGCCAAAGTGGATTTTCCCTCGATGCCGACGATACGACGCCAGCTGCTTGAGGGGGGCGGTCCGGCTCGTGCCTGTGGCTTGGTTGACATTGACCATCGTGCAGCGACCGCAGGGCCCGACGCAGCGAAACGCGTGGGGGCCTATGAAGAACTCGCCCCATTCGTCCTCTTCGTGGGGGCGGCAGCCGTCGAGGATCAAGTTGGCACGGAACCCATCTTCCGAGATCGTGTCAGTGCCGCCAAACTTGGAGTGCAGCAGCCTTACACTGGCTCGCGATAGCACCAGGAATGGAGCTTCGTTGGCGAAGCCATTCGTTCGAGTCGTGTGGTGGGTACCTGTCGAAGTAGCCCGCACCAGCGCACACGGTCGACCCAATACGCTTGTGAACCATGCATTCACCGTGTCGTTGTATTTACGACCTTGGCAATGCTCTGCACACAGTTGGAATCGCTACGTCCGTACATATATATTTGTTGGAATCGCTACGTTCATATATGCGATACAGTTATTCGTGATGATGATGTGTTGTACCGTGGGGGAATTTGGGACGTAGTGCAGTGGAATCGAAAGCTTCGACGATCGGTTGTCACATGAGACGTGGAGCTGTTGCGCGTCGAGGTCGACCACCGGGCGGATGGTGGCCATGAGTGGCATGTGCTTTTGGCTGAATGCGGCGCCCGTTGCTGGATCCACCAACGCCCACTCTCGATCGAAGAGCAGTCCGCGGGCCCCGACACGCCATCGATCGACGTGCATGGCTCCGCACGACTTGATGGGGAAGACGGCAATCTTGACCAATCGAATCGAAGCTGGAACATCATGCCCGACTTGGAGACGAGATGCCGCGAGATGCGTACGCGACGACACGAAATACGTGGCCACGAACATGATGAACGCATCGACGTCCTGCTGGGTACTCATGTACCCAAACGACACGCGAATGGCGCCCGTGGGTCTGTTGTGGATGATGTCCATCGCATCCCCACACACATGGCCTACTTACACGTTCAAATTCCAACGTCACCAACTGCTCAATTGAGTTTTTTACCTTGGGCCATATGTGCCAACATCTCGTCCGTGGTCAATCCAAGGTGAGCTTGGCACGCCCCAGGGTTGCAGAAGCACCCCGTTCGAACGTGGATGTCATGGAGGGCGGCCAACGTGCTGAATTCCGAGTACCCGACCCAGGCGCCGTCGGGAGTGCTGAAATTACACGCGATGATCGACCCCGCATCGGGGTCTCGATGGTGCGTTCCATAGATCGTGCACACGCGGGCCCCGTTGGCATGGCGGAGGGCTGTGAGGGCATGCCACGCGTACGTCGTGAGGGCTGCCACGTGTCGCTGGATGGCTGGCATGGTCAGGTTTCTTAGCGACTGCAGCCCAATGGTGCACGCGAGAATAGACAGGTACGGAAGGGTACCGTCTTCGAAGCGGCGGTGCGTCGCTGCGTGCGGTCGGCTGGCGTCGAGGAGGGTCGGGAAGGACGCTGCCAGGGTACCCCCGCCATGGTACGGTTTTGCCAAGTATGGCGCGCTGGACCTTCGGATCAACAACGCCCCCAAGCCAGAGGGATACCCAAACAACTTGTAGAACGACATCACCATAAAGTCGGGTTTGTACTACGTTGGGATGATATGAAAATAGTTAGGTGGGGGGAATGAAATCAAATGCTGGTGGCACCTTGGAGAGGTCGACAGGGTTCGTAGCCGCCAGCTTGGCAGCGTCCAGCAGGACAAACCACTTTCCTAGAGGACGATCGCCGCTGGGTCGGTTCGAATTGACTTGGTACTCGGGAAGGGTCTTCATGTCGTTGAGGGCATTGTGATGATGCACCCAGTCGATGGTGGACAGAGAGTGCTTTGCTCCGCTGAAATTGCACTCCCCTGGAAACGCAACCAGGTTGCACACCTCATGTGTTCTACTGTCGTCGTCGAGTGGAGGAAGCGACGAGGTCGGCTGTTGACCTATCTGCAACACCACAACTCTGTGACAATCGACGTCGAACGAGTTCGATTCCTACTGAATCCAAGACATCCACAGGCAGGGCAAATATGCGGGCGTCGTGCGCAGCCGCGTACGACCGAATTCCCAGCACACTATTGTGTGAATCCATGCTGTACGCAAACGAGCTTTGGCGGGAGAAGGGAAACGACTCGCCAATGAGCTTCAGCCCTGCCGTCGTGCCAGATGTGAACACGACGTCGTATTCCTCGAGCGTTGTGTTGAAGAAAGCCGCCAAGTCACGGCGAACGCTGTCGATGGAGTCCGTGGTACGTTGACTGGAAGGCGATGATGAACTGTGAGGATTCCCGAACACATTCTGCATCAACAACTTGGCATGTTCTTCGACTTGGTGCGATCCATAGACTGTTGCACCCGCATGATCTAGGTACACTTGACCCTCTAAATGGCGAAACCGTTGGCCACGTAGCTTGGATAGGACGTCTTCGCCGTCGATGGAGCCGTAGCCATACCCTTCGCCCATTTCGTCCATGATCCGATTCGAAAGTTGCAATCTTGACTTTGAAGGAACATCACCCCTCCTAAAAAATACTTTCATAATATATGAATATTGTGTCTCCCGTCCCAAAGGTTAGGTTACATCAAGAACTCATCATGGACACCACCTCCAGAGAGCTCTGGAGGTGGTCGACAGCTATGGCAGAGCTGTCCAGGGAGCATCCGTCGAGAGCTCTGCCAAGCACATGCCATCCTTCATCGCAATGTGGTTGTGGCTACGAATAGTACGAATGGCTATCGCCGGTAGTGCGCATTCAATTGTGTGCTCGAAATACTAGGAGCTCTCGAAACGCAAAGGCAATAAATACCATGTGAGCATGGAGTTTGGAGTGTGCCGCCGTTTGCAAGTGCCATTGGAAGCACCAATGAGAATCTTCCACGTTGCGCCTACAATGGAGATGATGAATTGCGGCTACAGACACGGCAACGCTGCTGCTGACACACTGGACAGAATCATCTTGTAAGCGCATTCTAGGCATTTGCGCCATCGTTTTCTCTCCTGCAGCCAGCCAGCACTGTCACTATTGCTTAACTGAACCCGCCGATGAGCAGACGTTGGACCACGTGCATTCATTGCGTTGAGACGTGGTTGAGGGTGTCGTCAGCCTTCAGCAGCGAAATCGTCTACTGATAGTGTAGCTTTCCCTTGCCCGAGAAACGCACGGCCGCGCTCCTTTGCAGCAGCATCGTCACGTGGACATGTGATGTATTGCATTCTTCATATTTTGATCAAATGTAAAAGTGTGACAAAGATCCGACGGACTTCTTTGGCAATCATCATCCATGGATGCCCACCACACAAAAATCAATATTAATAAAACCACCATTTATGTTCCGAGGCCGTGCCATACATTTCTCAAGATAGTTGAATCCACGACACAAAAAAAGGACACATATTTCTGAAACTTGCCACTCAGGTTTGCACCATTTCAGTTTTTACCATGTTTGGTCGAATTGCTCGAAGCGTGCGTGGCCAAGCCCTCCTCGGCACGTCCGCCACGGGGTGCGGTGTTGCTCTCGGCATGTACAACAGTCAGTCGCCAACGCTTCTGGACACGAAGAAGAACAAGGTGGATGCGTCCGAGTTCCTCTACGTGCCGCTGTCCAAGGACAAGACGCCGCCCACGAGCATCGAATTCGACACCACGGCCCCCATGAAGGAGCGCATGAAGGCCATGATCTTCCGCGTGCAAGACGAAATCTGCGCTGGCATGACGGCCATCGACGGCACGGAATTCCGCCAAGACGAATGGGAACGTCCCGGCAATGGCGGCGGCGGGCGCAGCCGTGTAATCCAAGACAGCAAAGTGTTTGAAAAGGCCGGTGTGAACGTCTCCGTGATCCACGGCGAGCTCGGCAAGGCGGCGGCGACCCAAATGCGAGCCCAGGGCCGCGACCTGAATGCCGAGAAGGCCCTTCCGTTCTTTGCATGCGGCGTGAGCCTCGTGCTGCACCCGCGCAACCCGTTGGCCCCGACCATGCACTTAAACTACCGGTACTTTGAAGTGGAAACAGGCAAGATTGGCGCCGATGGCAAGCCCAAGAAGCTGTCGTGGTTTGGCGGCGGCGCTGACTTGACGCCGAGCTACTTGTTTGAAGAAGACGCTCGCCATTTCCACGCCGTGTACAAGGTCGGTGTGGCAGCATGATGTTATGATGGCATGCTCCTGTGAAGATGGCTGATCTTTGTTGTTTATTGCAGACCATTTTGGACAAGACGGATAAGAGCTACTACCCCAAGATGAAGGCCACATGCGACAAGTACTTTTACATTCCCCACCGCCAAGAAGGCCGCGGCGTCGGCGGGTTCTTCTTTGACGACATGGAGGACAACCAAGAAGCCACGTTTCAAATGGCTCGGCAGTGCGCGGTACGTCGTCCTTAAACCGAGGGACTCAATTGTAACGTCGTCGCATAGAACGCCACTGTGGACGCGTACGGCCCAATCCTGCGCCGCCGCATCCACTTGCCGTTCACTCAAGAGCAAAAGGACTGGCAGCAGATCCGTCGCGGCCGATACGTCGAGTTTAACGTCATGTATGACCGCGGCACCAAGGTATACACACACGCGCCACCATAACCACTTCTTTGTCGATTCATTGGCATGGCTCATATGGGCGTTTGGTGTACAGTTTGGTCTGAACGTGCCTGGCTCGCGCATCGAATCCATCTTGATGTCGCTGCCGCTGACTGCGCGATGGGAATACATGCACACGGTACACGCTATCATCACCCCCAAGATTGATATGTCTTCCCTAACGCAATGTTGGATGAATAGCCCAAGCCCGACTCGTGGGAAGCACGTACGCTCGAAGTGCTCAAGAACCCCGTCGACTGGCTAGACGTGGACGCTGTGGACCTGCAAACCCTCTCGACCAAGGAATTGCTCAAGGAAATTGCGCGTCGAAGTGAAACACAATAGAAACCCACTTGATCATTGTCGTACTTGGTCGTAATAATGATAAAATCACAACTTTTGTATATATATATATATATTGTGTCACTACTGAGTTAGTACCCCATCTCCTTGACAAGGGACTTGTACGAAGTGTCTTCGACTGGGCGACTACTGGTGGGAGAAGAAGGAAGGTTGGCGCGCGAGTCGGACGATCTAGTCATTCATATACAGTACCACGTCACACATATAGGTAGGTCACTATGGGCTAGGAAATGAATGTACGTACTTGATCGTTTCAATCTTGTCCAGGGCCAGCAACTCCACCAGCACATCGCGCTTATTGCGTGCGAGCGACAGCTACGAGACGAATCCAAACCATGAAACGGAAGGATGGTCATGTATGTACATACATCAGCATCCCACGCAGTGTCGCAGAGCACGGCCAGCACTTGTCCAATCTAACGAAGCCGAGTAGTGTTATTCCATGCAAAGCAGTATTCGAATCAAACCTTGGCTTGGTCGACCAAGTCTTCATGCAAAATGAGCCGCGTGTACAATTTCTCGGCCGCGAGTTTGCGCACCTACTCGATCCAAGTTCAATTTCAGTTTGAAGTTGCACTTGGTATGATATAAACTCGTGCCTTTGGAAACCGATGGCCGAGGCAGACGCAAATCCCCCGTAGACTTCTCTTCTCGACCGACACTTCACTCGGAAGTAGCCCCACGAGGACTGCAGCACCACGACAATATATCATCAACCAAATAATATGCGATAATGGTAAATAGATGATGTACATACCTGCCAAGCCGGCACTGAGCTTGTGCACTTCGGACGACTTGGCCATCTCCGCTCGCACGGCGTCGTACAGGGCGTGGCCAAACAGCGCGCCTCCATCTTGGAGTAAAAATGCAAACGCGCCTTGGTCCAAGCAGAACGCGATGGTTTTCAGAAGCGGCACCACGACGCGGTCGTCCTTTGCGTGTCTTTGAAACAAACCGACGCAGAGATGGGCAAACTGACTGGCGGCGTTGAAGTGCTGGCTCTGGACTCGGGCGGTCAGCCAGCCCAAGAGCGCGCGCTTGGAGGCTTTCACCTGGACGGACATTCATGTTTACACTGTACTACGAAGTAGGTAAATGAATATATACCACACTCTCAGTGAGCCCACCCACCGACACCACGAGCCCCTCCACGACCGCCTCCATGTACGACGGGCTATCCAACAACTACACAATGCAATCACATGGTTCAATAAAAGGGTTATATATATATTATGGCACCACAATGGGAAATATATATATATATATATATGGCATCATACGGCAATCACAATGGGAATAAATATCTATATATGGCATCATACGCCAATCACAATGGGAATATATATATATATCGTACGCCAATCACAATAGGAAACGTGTCGTGGGCCATGGACCAGTTGACGCCCTCAGACGAGTGGAGCCACCGAGTTAGATGAGGCCGATCTGGCACGCCATCGATCCACGTGGCGCTGGCCACCAACTCGACGAGAATCGTGCCCGCAATGCTTCGGATATTGTCCAACTTTTCACTCAACTGTTTGACCAGAACGAGGCACTACAATAATAAATATTTCCATCAGAATACAATTTCACACAAGTTTTGGACGTTAAAAGTAACGTACAAACTTAGACACAATCGCGGGGGGAACCCCCACGACGGATGACGATGGCGTAGTCGAATGGGTTGACGACGTGATGACGTGGCGCGCCTCGAGCGACGGCAATCCCCGGGGTGTCGGCACATGCAAGGCGCGGTCGTCCGCAAAGATGCCGACGCCGTTGGGCGGAAAGTAGAAGTACCCGAGGGCGGGCTTGGCGAACTGCACCGACACCATCTTGCGCTTCAACGCTCGGGTTTCCACGATCACCCCCGTGCCAAAGCCCGTCACAGCCACTCGTTGGTTGTACATGTCGTCACCAGTACGTGTGCCGACGGCGCAGTAGTGTTGGACGATGACGTGGAGCCCCTGCATGGCTTCCCTGCGGACCCACGATCCCACATCCCCCCGTTCGTCCATGCTGTAGTCTTCGTCGGCGCACTTGAGCAGGCTCTCCAGCACACGCGTGAGCATGTCGACCGTCATCTCATGGCGGTTCTTGGTCACAATGTCCACCAACGCTTGGATGGCGGCGACACGGGACTCGGCATCTTGTTCGTCTGGGGTGTGGTAGCTGGCCACGGCCGCCACGATCATGAGATCCACACACTGGTGCACGTGGGGATGCAGCAGCACATATGGCATCACGCCTATGGCAATATATATAGTCTTTCAAAACTACAAAGTGATGCAAATATATATATACCCAATGCTTTGAGAAACCCTCGTCGAGCAGCCACGTTCGGGTTCAACATACTCTTGTCCTTGACCGAGCTCAAGAAGCGCGGGACGATGGCCTGGATGTACAAAGCATGGTCAGGTGAGTCCAACAGCTTGGCGAGGTAGCGCGTCGCCAGCTCTTGAAACGCAGCGATGGCCACTGTGCGCACCAACTCGTTTGGGTTTTTCAGGCATTCTACGTCGATTGTTGCTTGTGAAAAAAAGAAAAAATATATATATATATATCACCAGACCTTCGACAGTAATGAGGTACTTTTTGGCCAAGGTAATGGGCAGTGGCCACCCCAGCTTGGCAATCGTTTGCATCAACGTGCACACAGCCACTCGAATCATCTCTCCGCCGCGGCCGCGATACAGGCGCCGCTTGTCCATTTCAATCGGGATCAACTTGAGCCGCCGCATGACTTCGCCGTCGATAAACGCTGGGACGCTTGCAATATGCAGCACGATCTCACTCAAGGCCAGCGTGGCCCCGTGCCGGACGATCACGTCGCTCGAGGGCGATATGCTCGCGACGAGCAAGGGCGGAACGATAGCCGACAGCGCGTACGCCACGTCCAACGGCGCCAGCTGGCCCAGCGCAGAGGCCGCCAGCACGCGCACATTCACATCCCAGTGAAACAGCTTGACCGACGCCAAGTGGTCAACGAGCACGTACCGGTACTCGGCGTACTGGGCGATGTGGCGACTCACGTCCAGATACGCGTGCGAAATGGACGCGAGCGTAAAGTAGTCGGCTTTTGTCAGCAGGTCGATGCCGTGGGGAAAATTCCCCACTCCCTGATGCATATCGTGCGTGCCCTGATTAGTACTACTGTAGTAGTCGTACTAGTAGTACTAGTGTACATATATGGATTACCTGTCGACCCACGCTTTCTTGAAAGGCCGCCGCCGCCGCGCGCCGACAGTTGAGTTCACGGTCCAACGCACACACGGTGAGCATGATGGGGGCCAGCGTTTGCTTCAAAAATGGCAAAAACAACGCCGGTTCGTACGCCCGTGCAAACGACCAGCACTACAAGGCCATGTATATATCATATATATACATAAAAATACTATTATTATAAATATACTAGTACAGTATATTATTATTTTTAATATATATATATGTCATTAATGTACACATTATACATATATATTTACAGACAATTTAGTACTTGTATAAAAATAGTATACACACCACACTGGAACCAATCTAGGGATATATGATCCAACGTACAGCATAACAAGCCGCGTCTCGTACGTGGGCGCCGATGCTGTGGGCTCCTCGCCGCACATCGTACATGAGCGCCAGCCCAATCACGTGTACGGCCTGGGGCAGTCGGTCCGGAAGGAGGACGCACCGCCGCGACAGTTCGGCCATGGCCAAGCTCGCCCCGTGCCACGCCGCTACGAGGATGCATATACTAGTACTAGTAATACTAGTAGTATCCAGTACCATCGCTCTCGTTGGCAGAAAACAGCTCGAGAACCGCGTGCACGATGTCGTCGGCAAACTCAAACGGCAGGCGCGACGTCACTCGGCCGACGCCCTTGGCAGCCGACCACCGGACCACCGTGTCGCGATCTTTCAACCCGCACAGAAGCACATCCACCACCTGTTCGAGTTCTGCTGGCACTTGCATGTCGTCGTCTATAGAACACGAATCGTTTATATATATATATATATATATATTCTATACCGTCGTTTTCGAACGGGTTGGATGTTTTGTCAATGGCAGCAGAAGCGTCGGCCACGGGATGGGGGGCGGCTGCCAAATTCGCCGCCAGCGACCGCACCCCTCGCGCATACCGCCACGTCATCACCTACAACCCCACGACGGTGACGCGGCAAATCTCGAGGCCTATTTGTTTGTTTACTTTCGGGGGCAAGTAGAGCAGCCCCATGCGCTGGAGCAGCTTGGTGCTGAGCTTTCGATGCACGGTGCTACTGACGACTGTGGCGGCGTCTTGGGCGCGGATGGCGTCGATGACGTGCATGACGTGGCCAAAGTACTCGCCCATCAACACAATGTGCTTGTCTCGGGGGGTAAACTTGCAAATGTACGACAGACACAGCATGATGCCTGCTCGAAACGTCAACGAAATAGCCCCGTGATATGGCACTACAGTCGAGTTCATCATACTAGGTAGTACCTGTGATCTTGTACTGGCGAATACGGGCTTGCGACGAGTCTGCTGCGTGACTAGCGGTGCAAAATGCATCGAGCTCGACCTTGACGTAGTCGAGAAACGCAACCAAGTACTGGTCTTCCATGTCTGGGCGGCTACAAATACATATATATATATATATTGTCAAATCGATTCGAAGCTAGAGTCGTCGGAAGAATCCAAGGTTATAATTCATAAACAGTCTAAGCCAATCAAAGTATCACGTTCGGGTGTATTTCTGCCAATCCAAAGTACTGATTCGGTTCTGCTTTGGGTCAAGCCATATACTAGTAGATACTAAACAGTGTATAGTATAGTTTGTACAAGCTTAAATAGGGTCAACTCGTTGAAGTCGAAATTCAGGTGAAACACGCAATATATATATATATATATATATATTCATCCATTCGATGGCAGTCACACAATGTGAAAGGTTGGTTGTACCTCAAGAGTCGTGCCAAGCACAGCGCCGCGGCCTGTTGCGTGGGGCCGCTATCCTGTAGATACGTCTTGCAAATGGCGACGATGTCGGCCACAATCGCAATTGATTCGCCATGTTCTTCGTGGCCGTCCAAGGAAGAGTCGATGGATTTCAAGTCGAATGGTACCAGAGCCAAGATGGACAGCCACAGCAGCAGCACAAAGCTACACAAGCACCACATGACATTGCATATATATATATATATTATTAGTATACCGTATTTCCCAAGTCGAAAAGTCGTCTCGATCTTGAGATTGCAGCAGCAACAGCACCGGTTCAAACTCGGCGACGTCGTGCGGCATCAGTTTGACAATGGTCTTGTACCTTAGTTACAAGCCCCATGAGGATCGACAAGATATGTGGGGCCTTGGCGTACCCACGCACTTTGCACAAGAGGTACAGAATTTGACACGCGCGATGCAAGTGAATGCGCGTCGCCGCATCCAGGACTTGAAACGGAAACGCCGACGATGGACTGGTTGACGCCATGGACGAAAACACGGATTGAATGCGTCGGACCACAGGTGTTACCATGTCGCGGAGAAGGGGATCCAGTAATTGGCCTTGCTCTTGGAATGGTTCGATCTAACGCCAGGGTAGTGAGATCAGTGCCCAACACCACACTGTTGACATGCATACCATGGTCTGAAACTTCTCCATCACTGCCTCCGAGAGGTCCCCGGACTGAAGCAGCTCCACCAGTCTCGTGTCTGCCTGTAGGGACTCATTCACTGCACCGCCATCGTCTTGCACGTCTTCGACGTCGTCATTTCGCGGTGTCTTGTCGGCGGCCATGGTGCAATCAATTCCTGGTATCCAAATGCACGAACGAACCTTTGCATATTTAGATTGCAACAATATTAATTTGCAAAGGTTTCCCGTTTCAGTATCATGTCGGCGAATGGTATGTGGACTCGCATGGGGGCGTCCGGGTCGTCTGTGGTCATTGCGCCCAAGACCATCTCGAAGGAGATGGAGGAGAGGATGCGCGTGTGCATCGAGGCGTTCATGAAGAAGGCCAAGCCAGACCAAGCCAAGAGCCTCAAGCTCGTGCGGCAGCACGTGGAAAAATCCCTCTCGCTCAGCTTGACACATCACAAGGATGTTCTGAAGCGGCTGATGCATGGCATCTTGCAACGCGGCCAGGCAGTGACGACGCAGCCCGAAGTCCCAGTGCGGCCAGAAATCACAATCGCGAAGACCAAGGCCACGTGGTGGAAGCAAGACGAGCGGCGCGAGGCGTTGTTGATGGGCAGTCATCGCTTGTTTCAGTTCGCAGTGGAGCACCCTGAATGCGGCTTGGACGCGATCCAAACTTTCTGCGATCTCTCCTCCATCATGAACGATCCAGAGCTGCATCAGCTGCTGACTGCCTTCGCCCGCCAACTCGGCAGCGGCTACGTCGACCAGGACTTGCTGCCCGAATGGACGCTGCACACCCAACCTTCTCCGCTGCAAGTGTTGGACTGCGTTTCATCCATGTATACGTTAGAACGCATTGGGGTGCAGCACTCGCGCAGTGCTGACTTGCGCTCATTCCTTGACCATGGCTCGTCGCTGTATTCCCCAGAGGTACTGTATATCGCCATGCGTCATACGTCGATATGATGAACATGCTCATGCACAGGACTACTTTGGATGGAACCCCGCGCTCGGGGTCCCATCCTCCGACCCCGAACAAAGCGGCTTTCAAAAGATGTCGAATGCGTTGACGCTGCTCTCGTACGCCTACACCCTGAACATTTCCTTGGGCTGCACTTATGCTTCGGTACACAGTCCGTTCTTAATATAACATATATATTATTTATATATATATATATATATATATATATATATATATATATATTATTTATACATGTATATTATCCATAGGTACTCCACTGGCTGCCTTCGTTTTACCCGTACCAAGGGCCGTCTACAATGGACGAAACAGACTACTTGGACCAATGTTACTTGGTGTGCCGTTCCATATTGACGCTGACGAACTGGGGGTCGTTCGAACTTGCCGTGGTTTGCATCGCATCCTATATATATATATTTTTTATAGATTTATTAATAATTAGTATATGAATATTTAGGATCTCATGCCAAACGAATATTATTTCCTCCAAGCCCATTTGGACGTGCAAATCGGTCGTGGCGACTGCCACCTCATTGGCGAGTTTACGCGGGTGCGAAATAATTATGTATTTCATCCGTCTTTTTTTTCACTGCATATATATATATAATATATATAATATATATATATATTATGTATTTAATATATGATAAATATATAATATGTATATAATATATATATAATATAAATAATATATAAATATATATATCGAATTCATTCAGTGGTTGTATTCGTCCATCCCTAGGCGTTGAAATGCTTTGGCGCAAGTGTTGATCGAGGGGTAGCGTTTGCGCTTTGCTATCCGCACTCGTTCGTCCAAGTAGCACATGAATCCCCCGACCAAGTCGTCCACAAGGCGGCTGTGGCGCTGCATGCATTGACGGAACCTCAATTCAACGGCTACGCCCCAGCCATTCCCGACGCCCAAGTACTGGCCATCTTGCAGCGCAATGCGTCCACGGAGCAGCAACGCGTGCGTGACGAAGTTGGTTGCTTAGCAACGGCACACTCATTCGTTTGTATTTGTTGTGTATGTGTAGCGGGTGGAGAACTCGGCCACGTTCGAGTCGGACCTCAAGCGCAGCCAGATGAAGCAAGCTCTACGAAAGCTCTTGGACAAGGCTGCCACCATGGATGTCAAGCTGGTACAAGATATATATATATATTCTTCCATTTAGTTCCACACTGTAAATATATATTGTGTTGTAGATTCCACTGGACGATACGTTGCACCGCATCCAACTCACGCTGGAAAGCACGACCGACGTGAAAGCGCTGGACGCGACCCTCGCCATGGCGATGCTGCAAGACCTGAACGCGATGAAGCTGACGATGGAGACGCTCAAGGAGACGGGCCTCGGTCGAAGTGTCAACAAGCTGCGAAAGCACCCAAGCGACCAAGTGGCGGCGGCCTCCCAAGCGTTGGTGGCCAAGTGGAAAAAGGAAATGCTGGGCCAGTAGAATGTCGATATTTTAACGTTCATCATACCTCAGAAACATGCAAGGGAACGAACTACCACAGGGCATATTCCATTATGGCTCTTCTCATAGTCTTAGGCACATCGCTGGCCAACTGCATGCCACGCACACGGATGTGTGGTCCACATCATGCTCTGGTACAAGTGTTGGCCCAATGCAACGTAACGCTCCATCGGAATTTCGTCGATGGACGATCGACGATCAAAAGAATAGTCTTGCTGGATCTCGTTCGGTGGCAAATGGGGACTTGTCTCGAGCAACGAGTTGAGGTCGAAGGTAATGTGAGGGGGCACATCCACTGGTTCTTTGGGCGGTGGCACACCCACAACGCTTAATCCGTAGAGCAATTGACTTCGAATGAGATGGAGCTTCAAAAGTGGATCGAGGAGACTCGGCCGCTTGCAGACCTGTGGAGCGGGTTGTGGGAATTTCGACGGGAGAAGAGGCAGGTGAAGGAAGCGAAGCCCATGGGTCTCCGTATCCAGGTCCACATTGGCGGCGATAGCAGGACGAGCTACGCGGGGGGCGAAGCGGCGGATCACACGCGACAGCATCCTTCACCAAAGGCCTTGTGCTTCTGATTCAGGCTGCTGTACTGCATTCATTCGAAACACCTTCACTCTCATATTCAGCCTAGCTGTAACGTTATATTGTACGTTATATTGTTATAATGATGAACAGTCCCGCTCTTGATTTATCACAAAATTTGTCAATTTTGAAGGATTTCAATGAAATGTTTACCAATCGAAAGCTTTTACTGTTAGTATTTTGGCTTTCTCATCGTCATACAAATCGTTGAAATTGCAAAATTATTTGCTCAACTAGTACTACTAGTTAATCCGGCGGCCGGGATTGTTATAATAACAACTGGTCCCATTGTCCGACGACCATGTCAAACACTTTGCTTGTTAGCGCTCGATCATACCAAGTCACGCACAACTGGATTCCATGGACGACAAACGGCCTCGTAAACTCACCAAGGTTTCGACCTCGTGCTGGTCTGACTGTGGTCGACAGCTTGGTATCTGCTTTTGAATTCAAATCTGAGCTAACTAGGGTCCCCCCAGGAGCGTGGACTCGGAGGCGCCCCCCTTCATCTCAACGCGTGGAACGCAAGCACAAATATGAGCCCGAAGGCGGTTTCTCGTCTGGTCCAGCCCGTCGATCGGATCGACTTCGCGAGAAACGCAGCGCAGGACGAAGTCGAAACCTTCACCTGTGTCGCTTCTCGGGCATTGGCACAAATCATTCACGCCTTGAGGCTAGAGATCGTAGAGAACTGAATATTTATTAGCGTACATGTACTTTGAATAGGACGTACGAAGGACGACGCCGTACATGATGGGAAGCCAAGAACCCTGCGTCCCAGCTCCGGTTGAGCGTCCAGTTTTGTCGCGAGTAAACGACGTGGCCCCAATTGCAGCGCCGTCGTCTTGCTTGAGTACCGTCCAATGTCAAGGAGCGTTCCAAGGCCGGTGAACACATGCCAAGACGTACAAGCTGAAGGCTTTGAAACTACTACATACAGTACGAACGTGTGAGGACGACAAAGGGCAATGAAGACCTCACACACAGTTTTTCAGGACCGTTGTAGTCACGGTCGCACAAGCAGTAACTTTCACATTGGTACTTCGTTGGGAATCGACAAAATCTCCTTCGCGGCCACAATCCCCTTGTAAAAGCACGCTGCGCAGGTGAGAGCACCGACACGACACAACGCTACCGACCTTCACGTATACAGTACGAGGACCACCCAGGAGACGCTAGTGGGAGAGGATGAAGGAAAGTCGCACGAGGTCGGAGGATGAATGGCTCTGAAGGAGGAACACCGTGCGAATCGACCTTAGTCGCGGGGTTGTCGACATGGTTGACGTGTATCGGGGGGAGGACGGCTTCGAGATGATGCTTGTTCAGGGCCGCGAGTTCTCGGTGATGTCATGGCATGGGCCACTTCGAGAAAGGTCTAATACATGAAGTAAATGATTCTGTTGCTTTATAGTATATTTTGGAAGTTCAAAATAGTCACTCCAAAAAATATTAGAGCTAAACATTGTATTGATATCTTCAACGATTCGAGCGTGGCTATTCCGAGCGATCGAAATCCACCGCTGTGCGATCCAATCTCCCAAAAGTCTGCTCCTCCACACAAAGCCACCGTAACCATGGAAAAAGTCCTCGAAGAAGCATCCACTGTGGCCACCTCCGTGCTCGCGTCCATCCCGCAGCGCTTAGCTCGTGTAAATGCCCTTCTCGCGTCTGAATTCCCAGTGAACACTCCGTCGCAATTGGCTGTGGCATTCACGCCATTGGTGTCGGCGAATGCGACATCGAACCCGCAGCTGGGCCGTTTGGTGACGTTGGTGCTGGACGAAATTCACGTTGCTATCCATGAGCTACAACGACTGGAGCGTTGGATCCAGCTGCTCACTCCTCGGGTGGCCGATGGCAACAACTTTGGGGTGGAAGTGCAAAAATCCGTTCAACTTCAGATCAGCGCGAGCCGCACAGCGCTCCAAAAGTCGTGGGACGCCATGACTGACTACTACTGGCAGCGTGCCACGGCGTACGAGAAGTTTGCTGCAAAGGTCTCGAAGGACAAGAAGAAATCTGTTTCAACCACCAAAGAAGAAGGGGGCAAAGATGGCGCCGTGAACAAGACATCCCAAGTGGAAAGCACCGATGAATCGTCCAGTGAATCCAGCGTGATCCCAGACCTGCTAGTGTATGTCGTGGCCGTGGACGTGAAATGGTACTTCAACCTGCAGAGAACCCTCGAAAGCGTCGCGGACCATTACGCGTTCACGTTGGATGCCGTCGAGAAGAACAGCAGCAAGATCAAGCTGCCCCGAGGTCACGGCGAGCGCGGCATGAACATGTTTTGAGCGGCGGAGCGTTCGCCTGACCTCGATCACGATCCTTCACACACCATGCAATTCATCCTGCCGCAATAATCAAAAATACAAATATCCATGCATGGTAAATCTCCAAAGTAATACGATAGTATTACTACAACAGATATTAGTAGTACTAGACGGCAGTTACACAGCCTCGATTCAGTTCGGTTTCGCACACGAGCAGCGGCGGCGATGTCTGGAGGCGGCGGGAACCCCGTGTCGATGCAATGGAAGTATCCGCCGGACCTGCTCTTCAACGACGAGAGTTTGCTGGACATCATCTTGGGCCTTCGCACCAAGATCGAACTGCTCGAGAAGAACGAAATGGGCACGGGGGAGATTCCGCAATGGCTCGTCGACGCCATGCAGAACATTGCCAACAACTCCGAGGCGATGGTCGAGTGCCAGAGTCTCAAAGACCAGCTCAAGTACATGAAACAAAACATCGACGCCTTGCAAAAGGATATTGTGATCCTTCGGAGAGATGTCGTGGCGGCCAAGACGTTGTCCAAACGGCGCGGTGGCGTCTCGCGCGGCGGCGACGACGAGCCGGATCGAAGCGAGCAGTCGTCTCGCCGAGGCTCAGTCTTGTCGGCAGAGATCCGACGGGGCATCACGGTCGCGGGCATCAACTCGACCAACGACACCATCCACAACGGCAACGCCATGCCGACGATCGTAGGCGGGGGCGACACCAGCCAACCCAACACGAGCCGGCAACCGTCCAGTGTGGCCGAAGAAGCGATGAAGCTGACCGTGGCGCTTCAAGGCCCGTCGGACGGCGGTCAGGCCATCTCGTCCGCGGCCATGGAGCAGCTCCTCGAGCCCGTCGTGCACAGCATCGAGCGTCAAAAGGAAGAGTTTGCAGTCATGCGGGAGAACTCCCAGGCCGCGAAAGACAGCGTCATGCGCCTACAAGCGGAAATGAAACGCCGCGACGCGCTGATCCAGGCGCGCAACTCCAAGCACGAGGCCGGCGTCAAGATCCTCATGGACAAGCTCAACCACGACCTGCGGGCGTGCGTCACGCACAACGAAATGATCGGGTTTGAGCAAAAGATCATTGTCTTGCAGAAGCAAGAAGTGAGCCGGCTCACGGACGAGTTCAGCGCGCTCTTTGGCCGCGTGCAAGAAGATCTGTACATGGTACCGCATCTATAGAAGGTTTGTTTATTGACACAGGGACGAGTCTAGGTGCGAAGCTCACAAGAGGACATCAACAGCGCGCAGGCCGAAGCCGTGCAAACCAACCAGAGCAAAATCCAAGTGCTCAATGAACGGCAAGACGAGAGTCAGCGCAACCAAGTACACATTGAAATCTAGATATATATTCCACCGCTAATTGTGTATGTAGGACCGATTTGCTCGCACCACTGAAGAACTGAAACGCAATATTCAAAGCGAACATCAGCAAATCCAAACGATCGTCACGCAATACGGCGTGATGAAGGACAAGCGTACGTGGCATTCTTGTGTATGTAGGATGTAGCATCTGTGACACTGACCAAAACCACGTCACAGTGCAAGCGTTGGCGGAAAAGCAAGCCAAAACCGAAGTGTTTTGCTCGGATATGTCGCAAGCTCTGGAAAACGTCAACATGAGCAAAGTCAAATCGGACGAAAACCTCAAGCTGGTGATCCATCAACGAGCAGAGTCACTGTACAATGGTACGCTCGTACGTTGTTTCACGTTGATTAACGTTATTTAACGTCGTAGAAATCAAGCGCATCGACGACGTGCTAGAGTCGTGCTCGCTGGCGACGATGGCGGACGACATGAAGTTTTGCACGGAGAAGCTGGGGGTCGTGGGCACGTTGGCCGACGACAACAAGAAGCGCATCTCGACGGTGGAAGTCAAGATGGCCGATAACGAGACCATTTACAACACCAACTTTTCCAACATCTACGAAGGTATGGAGAAGGCGCGCAAGGAATCGGTCGAGGCGCTGCGACGGGAGACCACGCGCATCGGCGTCAAGTTGGTTGAGCACGGCGACGTCCAAGCGCAGCTCGGCAAGTTCATCACGGACGTCAAGACGGAGGCCGAGCGCAACTTTGCCGCCATGCGGACCAAGCACGAAAACCACGAGCTCGAGACCGACGCAATGCGAGCCAACACCGAGTCGGCGCTGCAAAACCTCAAGGAGAAGATCTTTTTCTGCGAAGAAGCCAACTTGGCGCTTCGGGCGGCCAGCGACACGATGCAGCTGGAAACCAAAAGGTTGAAAGTGTTCTAAAGGACCGTCGGCAGGGTACTGATGGACGTACTACGTGCATAACTCTAGTGCGTTTCAAACAATCAACACCGAGAACAAGAGCATGCACACGATTTTGGACTCGATGAACTTGACGTTTGAAGATGTGGGCCACAAGCAAGCGTCGATCGAAAAGCAACTCGACGTCTTGCAGCGTAAGCATCACACTATGATGATGACAGTAGAAGGATGACTCGTCATGACGTAGACGACTTCCGGTGTGAGATCACCGTGACGACGGCAAAACTCAGCGAAGCCGTGGCCAAGGAAGGCCAGCGCACGGAGGCACTGTACGCAGCGTTTGCCGAGAAGCAGGCCAAGTTCGCCGAGATTGTGGCCAAGTCCAGCACGCGCAACATGCCCATCGCGAGCGTCAACAAGGAGCTCGATAAGTTGTGCGACGCGATCGTGAGCGAGTGCTGGAAATTTGAAATCTCCCCACGCCAGGAAGGCCAAGTACGTCTCGTAAGAATGCCACGTAGTAGTGACATGCAGGACGTAGAGCGGAACGCCGACCAGAGGCGACAACAACGGGTCGTCGCGCAAGCAGTTCTCGGAGCGGCAGCAGGTGTGGGTGGTCAAGAACTGTCAGTTCTTTGCCGATTTGATATGCGCCAAAGCCGAATACGACGTCATGCGCAGTTATTCCAACAAAGAGGCAAGGCGGGGCGATTATGGAGAGATTCTTCTCCTACCGTACTGCAAGTCACTGTGGTGGTGGTCGTAGACCAAAACCCAAGGCGCGCTCGAGGCCAAGATGCTGCGGATGCAGAGCGAGATCCTCGAGAAGCTTCAGTTGCGCATCGAAGCCAAAGTCTCCAACAACAAGAACTGCGGCGAGCAGTTTGACCGCAGCACCCTGGAGCGGCGCGAAGTGTTTATCGAAACCGTACGATACTCTATTTTTATCCGGATGACAATGCCTTTTTAAATTAGATCCAAAACCTCACAGATGGCGCGTTGGCTCGTCGGACGCTGGTCGGGGGCGGCGTGTCGTCGGAAGACAGCACCGCGGGCCGCGGCAGTGTCATGACATTGGATGGTTGGCAACATCGTCACACACAGCAACATCATTCTATGCATGTATTCATAGGAAGTCTCTCGTGTGTGGAGAGCGTTCGGCTTCAAGGCACGGGCCGTCCATCGACGAACGGCTTTGAAAGCCCCAGCTCCCGCGCCAAGAAGCGCTTGTCGGACGTAGGAGCTCGGCTGGACTCGACTTCTACGGGCGACTCTGGTCCGGGGGGGCGTCGCATGATCCAGTCGCCGCATGCCAACTCGCCGTTTGTGTTTCGCGGGGGGTTTCGCATCCCGAACCGCAACACGGGTCTAAACGCCGTCTCAGACGCGTACAGGTATCGAGTCTATATTTGGCATGTGGTTGAAAAGCGATGGGGAATTGTGGGACAGGGAACTGCATGCAGAAGACGAGAATGCGACAGACGAGATTGAATCGAACGACCAAGGCATCATCCATGGCGAACTCAGCATGACGCCGTCCGTGTCGTTGCCGGCGTTGTAAACACAATACACGAAAAAACACAATCGGTGGAATTGTGCCGATGATCCTACGGTTTCTACGCCGACAACTTGTCCGCGCGGCGGAACAACGTGTCGACAATATGGCCGACGTTTTCAATCACCCCGAGGCCCGCCTTGTACGTTTTCTAGCGTGCCACGTGTCAGATACGGAAGAATGTAGGTTGGTGAGTTTGGAAGAATGAAGGTTGGTGAGTTTGGAAGAATGTAGGTTGGTGAGTTTGGAAGAATGAAGGTTGGTGAGTTGTTTGTATTTGGGTCGTACATCTTCGGTGGGGTTTTCATACACGATCAACTGGCCGCGTCCTTGGTCGAGGATGCCGTGGAATTTGTGGTCCAATATCATTTGCGACAATCTATATCACAATATTAATATATATATATATATATATATATATATATATATATACATCACATATTGTACTTGGTTTCGATTTGAACGAGGGGCAGCTTGATCAAGTTGGCCACGTGGTTGATCTCGACGCACGAGTACGGGTGAATGATCTTGATCAAGTTGGACTCCAACAGCTTTTCGTACAACAGCCCCAAGTGGTGCTTGATCAGGGGGTCGGTCACCAATTCTAGGGCATTATTTCACAGTAGAAACACATGGCAAAACATACGCAAAGACACGTACGAGCGGCGTAGGTGGTCGTGGCCTGCTGGAACAGCTCGAGGGAGCGCTGGTCGTGGGCTTTGGCCACCGCCTTGAGCGCTTCGATGTCGATGCCCGTGAACTTGATGGCGTTTTTCGTGCTCACGATCGCAGGCACGTCCGCCGACTGACCGTTGGCCACCTTGCTCAGCAGCATGTACTTGAGGCACGCCAGCGCTTCCACCGGGTCCAGCGGCACCAACGCTTCAAACGCCTCGAAAAAGTATGAAAACGCAGTCTTGTAGTCGCGCTCTTCGGCGTGCAAGATGCCCGACATGTGGTCGATGTTGGCTTGGGTGCGGGGGATGATGTAGATGGTGTTAGCAATGGAGCGCGCCGCCGTCAACGATGCCTTGGCCTTGGGCACGTTGCGCAACGCGTGATACAACTTGGACTCGACGAGGTGGATGTCGACGAGGAGGGGCTTGTCGTCGAGCTTTTTGATTTCCCGAAGGAGCTCCGTGATTAAGTCCAGCGCGGCTTGGAACTTTTGCTGTTCAAACAAGCTAGGGACGACGACGTTGGAGATGATTGATTATACCCAAGACAAGGGGGACACGTACATGGACGCCAAGCGGGCCTGGATGCGTTGGCGAAGGAACGTGTGCTTCTCGAGGTTGCACCATGCAATCGAGTCGTAGCACAAGTCGGCTTGGAATTGCAGCGCCTTGGTCGCATCGAGCACTTTGACTTTCGACACCATATCAATGATGGTTCGAACTACACAACAACCATGACCATTTTGAACCAAAGCGAGTGGGCTCGTCGCACCAATTTTCCCCGTCTTGGCTTTGGGAATCGTGGAAAAGAACGGACGGACGTTCTGGAGCAGCGCGGCCAATTCCTTCTCGCGTCTACGAACAATAAAATGAGATGATGCAACGACTCGCATTCCTTACCCATGGCGGATGTAGAGCTGCCCCAATTTGTAAATCGACAGCTCCTTCACCTTGTGCACGACCTCCAAGTTGTCATCAGCTCCATCTATGCATTCCAAATCGTCACATTCCTCATGATTGGGGAATCAAGTCGTACGGTAAGCCAAGATCTTCTGGAACGCAGCAATCGAGCGCTCCGGAGACGCGCGTTCTTCTTCGATCTCCTCTTCCGCAGCATCAAAGTCCTCCTGGAGCTTGTGCTTCTTCGGCACTTCTAGCACGTCCATATCATGCGATCCCCCGTCTGCCATCGTAGCCTCAGGATAATCAAATCTTGGCAATTCTATCCGCCAAGATTTATCCGCATAATAACCTTTCTTATCCGTACATGTAAGTGCAATATTATTGGCTGTTTTTGACTAATTCTAGCCAATCCCAACGGTTTATTTGGACTTTCTTGGCGCGAAGTTGAAACATTTTTGAAATAACGGCAGAGCTCAATTTCCAATTCGACCGCCACCGCACTCGAGCCAACGCCGCCATCATGGAGCGCTACCAGAAGATTGAGAAGAATGGAACGATCGGAGAGGGCACGTATGGTGTGGTGTACAAGGCGAAGGATCTCAAGACGGGACACACGGTTGCATTGAAGCGAATCCGGCTCGAAGTCGAAGACGAGGGCATTCCGTCCACGGCGCTCCGAGAGATTTCCATCTTGCGCGAACTTGAGCATCCCAACATTGTTCGGTACGGGCTCTCCTAACTGTCCTCTGCAAGGATTCACACTTGCACGCCTCCACTAGACTGCTGAATTGCTTGCAAGACTCGGGCAAACTCTACTTGGTGTTTGAATTTGTCGACCGAGACTTGAAGCGCCACATGGACAAAACGCTAGGAACTGTCGATCCCATGCTGATCAAGGTACGTCCTCCGCGTATCCCCCCTTTAAAGATGTATCGTGCTGAAGTGACTATCTATCTAGGCGTACATGTACCAATTGCTCAAGGGGTTGGCGTTTTGCCATGCTCGTGGAGTCATGCACAGGTAGAAGTTGTACCTTCCCATGAAAATGAACCTAATGCACTGTTGAAGAGACTTGAAGCCGCAAAATCTACTGGTGAGCGAGTCGGGGACGCTGAAGATCGCAGATTTTGGCCTTGCTCGCGCATTCTCCATGCCGTCGAGAAAGTACACGCATGAAGTGGTGACGTTGTGGTACCGCGCCCCAGAAATCCTCTTGGGCCAAGAAGTGTACTCCCCGCCCGTGGATATATGGTCGTGTGGCGTCATCTTTGCCGAGCTGATCAAAAAGAAGGCGCTGTTTCCGGGGGACTCTGAAATCGATCAACTTTACCGCATCTTTCGCATGTTGGGAACCCCCGACGAATCCATTTGGCCGGGGGTGTCTGGGCTACGAGACTACGCGGCCACGTTTCCAAAATGGCGTCCTCAAGACCTCGAGCCCATGTTTCCAAAGTTGGACTCTGATGGCTTGGACTTGCTCAAGGTACTGTACATATATACCCGTGATATATCTTGTGATGATTATGACGTCCTTGACGTTCGTTGCATCCGTGTAGAAAATGCTGGCGTACTCCCCTTCGGAACGAATCACCGCCAAAGACGCCACGCGTCACCCGTACTTCAACGACTTGCCTTCCGAATATATTTAGACAGGTCTGCAACCTAGACATGTATCGGTGGTGAGGCATGCACTACTCACCGTTGTTGTGTGGTTGAAATGCTTGTACGTTTCCCATTTGAACACGATCCAGTCCACAATTTCTTTCGTGTGGGTTTCCTGGCGATGGACAGCTAGGATGGAGAAGTAAGTAGTACAGAGCCTTGGCGGCCACGTCAAACAATAGTACATACTAACGCGAACGACAAGAACAAAACTGCCATAGGGAGAGAGAATTTGTTCCCCCATAGCTGTATATTATTGTATGGTTTTATAACTTAGACGTTCGAGGTGTCTTGCCGAAATCGTGGCAAACAGTCGGCGGCGGCGGTCAAGTAGCACACTTTTGCAGCGCATTGCGTGGCGCCGCGCATGATGCGGAAGGCGAGGAACACGATCGCGCCGAAGAATCGGATGATGTTGACCACGGCGACGGTAAACGACAGGTACTTGAGGTAGCACGAGCACGAAATGAACGACGTGGCCATGTACAGCCACGCGCCGTTCGAGAGCAACCACGTGAGCAACAGCACTGACCGGAACACGCGAAAGCTGCTGTCCACGTCTTCGTGCTCGGCCGCCACGGATTGCTACCACACGAAAGAGATATATGGCGGTCGATGGCAAAAATAAATAATATATTTTAAATATTTAACGTACCTTTTGCTTGTCCGCTTCCATGGTCACGTCGAGGTTGGCAGTGTTTAATTGTAATGCTACCATGTGTTTGATACTGGTCCCGCCAGTGTGTCCACCTAGGAATATATAAATATATATATATATATTCACACTTCATAGTCAATATATATATTATATATATATTTGGAAGAATGTGGCTATGTAAACACGTACCAGAGTGGTGGCTCGAGTCGATGCCTTTGGTGCCCCAACTCAAGTCGTGCAGATTGCTGTATGCGTAAATCCCCAGAATGTTCTATCATAAATGAAAGGGTTGAATATCCTAAAAAATATACATATTGTACACGGAAATATATATATATATATATATATATTCGTACGATAAACGTGGGGAGCATGAAGTAGTATTGAATGGTACTGGCCAAGATACTGAATTCGCCGTGCGAGAACGCCGATAGAAACACCAGTCCGATGGACGACACCGCCCCGGCTGGCAGCTCCCAGTCCGCCACCGAGCACGACACCAAGTCGGGGCGGATGTCCATAAAATGCACTTGTCCAGTCAAGGCAAACAGGGAAATGGCGGTGGCCTACCACAGCCGTCAACACCATCATTCCGTTCATTCTCTCACTTTACCCCGAGCATAATGAAGCCCATAATGTACGAGCTGACTTTGTAAAACCCGGCCGTGCGTCGGCCTGGCTTGTTGCCTACTCCAAATTGCATTTAAGATGAAAGGGATGGATCGTGGATTCATGAATGGTTCTACATCATGGGCATACATACCGAGGGCAAACACAATCAGACTGCCCACGAGCACAAAGTACATGGTCAGCGTCACACGCAGGAGCACGGGCGACCGGTAGAACAGCGCAAGGGACAAGATGTAGTAGAATGCGAGGAAGAGGTTGCTGAGAAGGAACCAGTTGAGCACGTTGAGCACGGCCATGTACGTAAACTGCAATGTGAAGATGCACTTTCGTGCGAAACTGTGCGACGTGTCCCGCCACACGCGGCCAAAGTTCCAGATCGCAAACAACCCGGCAAAGAACGACCCGTTCAGCCACCGCCGCCGCTGCTTGATCAGGTCCACCAACGTCTAAGAAGACAATAATAATATTATATATTATCAATCTATTCGATGAAAAAGACAATTACCTCGGGCACGTCGGTGGACGCGATGGCGTCCTTGACGTAGTGCATGGTCCAGTTGCAATCTCGTCGGGCGAGAATCTCAAAGCACAAGATGCGGTCTTCTGCCAAGTACATGTTGCCCACAAATAGCCTACACACACCAAGTGCATCACCATCAGGGCACGAATGTACGAACGATTCAACCAACAGACGCACCCGAGCTCCTTCTTGGACGCGGTGAGGCTCTTGAAATACTCGACCAGCGGGCCTTCGCCGTCAATCGCGCGAATCGCTTGGTACCGGTAGGCCGAGAACGCCCCTGGCAGCACCCCGATGAACCCAAAGACGGACTGCAGGGATGCGTCCATGATGTTGGCAATCTTGTACTCAAAGTGCTGGGCTGCGATCACGGGGTTGAAGAACTGTGGACGGTCAACGGCGATTTCGCCGGCCACGCCGCCAATTTGCGCGTTGCGCTCCATGCTTCGAATGAGCCGGTACACGGACGTTTCCGCGGGAATCGTGCCGACGTCGACCAAGACCGTGTACTTCGGAGCTAGTTGCTCGCAAAACGCGTTGAAGAACCACAGGTGCGAGTGCAGTTTGCCGTTGTTGGCTTCCTTCAATGCGAAAATCACTTGCATCGGTGGGTAAAACAGTCCGTCCGTCGCTGTGGGCATTTGCACTGTGGCTTCGAACAAATGCACTTCCGCGGCAATGCCCATGGACATTTGAACCATCGTCGGCTTGTCAAAGCAACCGAGTGTCGACAGGTACGTCAACATGGACGGGTTGATCTTGCTGCGTCCGTCCGCCACGATCGAGATGACCACATGCTGCCAGTAGTCGTACCCGTGCTGCTCACACATGTACGCGATGCCCTTGGCCAGTCCCACGAGCGTGCTCTCGAGCTGGGACGCTGGCTCGTTGTACATGGTGATGGTCACAAACACCTTGACGTCGTTCCCGCACTCTTTGACGCGGAGGACGTATCCGTCGCGGGAGAAGTTGATTGGGTCTTGCGTGCGCACGGCGGTGTACTGCATGTGTGTAAACTCGGGACTGGCTCGGAAGGGCGGCGGCGCCACATGACGCCGGCATTCCCACGCGTGTTGGACCAGTGGCGACGACACGGTGGCGATAGGCGCCATGTCCTCGATCTGCTTGGCGTACCCATAAGCCAGTTGGAGATAGTAATCGAGCTTCTCGGCTCGCTTGATGAGCTCCGTGGTGGTCAACTGCTGCTTGGCTCGAGGCGTGAGGTCGCCGTTGAACGTAACGTACGACATCGTCGTCTTTTCAGCCGTGCGCTGTCCCCCCAGCATGACGGTGGTGGTGGACTTTTGACTGCTCTTGCTTCGCACAAGCAGCTTGGTTTTGACATGGGCGGGACAGATGCACGTTGTCGTCTTCGTGACTTGCTTGGATGGTGTCAGCAGCTGCATGGCACTTGAGCATCCACCGATATCGCAAAGTGGCAGGTTGTGTCTTCACACCAATCAAACAGTGACGGCTCGCCTCGTTCGAAGTCAAAAGTATTACTGTAGGCCGCCAAACCAACTCTAAAGTGTCCAAACAATGCGTGGAATGATTTTCCAATGAAAAAACGTTTTTTCCCAAATACCGTGTACTTTTAGTGTGTCAATGAGCCCCATATCATACAAACACCAAGCTTAATAGTGATGGGCAGTGAGATATAGGTGAATTGTTTTGCTTATTTTTGTCCCAATTATACTACCCATATACGTACCCAGATCATCACACCATGGATCGAAATACCTCGAAATAGTTGTTACCGCAGAACTTACTATTAATATATACCGGTATACTAGTAATACTATATATTAGTATCAAGAATATCCTGTAACGAGCAACCATTGCGACCTCCATGACGTGGCGTTCGGGTGTGAATCCTGCCTGCGGACCGTAACGCGAATTGTATATCAAATCGTCACGGAAAGCACTGTTTTGACTGGTGTATGGTTTGTCAAATCACCCTCAACTCTTGGTAACCGGATTGGTCCTGTTTATCCGGTTAATGCGCACTTGCGGATACGGATAAAACTACGGATAACTCGTACGGATATGGTGAGGTCGGAAATATCCAAACCAAAAATTCCGACGGAAATCATCGGCGGAAGGATCGATGGCATCGTGGATTGGCTCGTGGATGAATGGCGATGCAAAGCCAACCAACGAAGAAGAGAAGACGGACACTGTCCCTGTGAATCAACCCACTGCCGAGGAATTGCGTCAAAAGAGATTGGACAGATTGGCTGCGTTGGAGGCGTCAACGGCGGCGTCTAATGCTGATGTTGCGTCAGCGCCGACCCCACCCCCTGTTCAACGACCGCCACCTGCAAACCAAGTGAAGGCAATAACGCCTGCGCCAATTGAACACGGCAACCACGGTCCATCTCCGCAACTGTCGAATGCGCCGGACTTGACGAAACGTAAATCATCCACTCGTCGGGATCCGCTGCACAACGCCCTCCAACAAATCTTGGGCGTGACGCTCACTAAATCCCATGCAGGCTCAACGTTCGTGTACGTGGCCACCGACAGCGACACGATCAACTCGGACAACTTGAGCGAAGTCCTGTACTTGCGGCTGCTGGTCGACGATCCAACGTACAGCTCCGCGTTGGAGTACTTGTTTGCAGTGTACCAACGCGTCCGAACGGAATCGTCGGGTCTCAACGACGCCGACCGCCTCGTGGTATTCACCATTTCATCGAATTAGCCCTTCTTCAATTATTATCGCTACTCGTAGGTGCAGTCGGTCCAAGAGCAATGCATCAACTACAGCGTCACGTGTCTGCTGGAACCAGAGATGTTTCCGTCCAAGGTGACCCCACTGGAAGCGTTCGACGCGCTGGTTCGATCTCCAAACGCGAGCACGTCGTCGTACTTGGAGGCGCTGGCTGCCGGCCTCGAAGCGCAAGGTGGCAACGCCGCCGTGGGTCGCGTCGGCGGCCCCATCCTGCAGAAGCTCGTATCCGAGGTGTTCCTCGGGTCGCAGTCCATCTTGGCCTTGGAGTCGTGGTCCAGTCCGATCCAAACCATCGGCTCCCTCGTTCGCATCAAGGGCTTCGCGACTGTGTTCACCAACATCCCTGGATTCCTGCTCACGCCGCCGCTCAACGGCCGCCGCCTGCAAGATGCCACGGCGCTGGGCATTCTGCTTCGCTTTAGCACCGACGCGCCCGACCCGGCCATCAAGGACTTGTTTGCCAACATTACGAAACGGTACACGATGTTGGCTATTTTTTGCCATTTTTTGGCTATTTTTGACATTGTTTGGGCATTTTTTGGCTATTTTTTGACATATGATGGAGTAGCTCCCGCGTGGATGTCAACAAGTCGGTCGAGAGTTTGCGATCCAAGCTGTCGCTGCTGCACAACATTGTCACAGATATCTTTCGCTCGTTGCTCAAGGGGGGGGCGCACTCGAAAACCCGCACGATTCAATGGTATGCGAAATATAAAACCACGAAAACGAAAATATATCGATAGCAATTAATATTCTGCGACGATGTGTGGTGTAGGCTCGAGCAAGCGATGGTGGTCAACGTCGAAGGGTCCAAGGAGAACCCGAACCCGGCGCTCGTGTCCACGGCCGGCATGCTCATAAACCTGAACGTGGTGCTGCTCCGGCTCTGCGGCCCGTTCCTGCCGCCGTCCACCAAGCACGCGCTGATCGATGCTACGTACTGGAAGTGCTGTTCGAGTCCGCTGTTTCCGCAAGACACGACCAAACTCGTGGCGCCGTCGTCCTCGTCTGAGCAGCAGCAACCCGCGCCGCCCTCTGCTGCCTTGGCGTCGTTCAACTTTATCACCCAGTGCTTCTTCCTCACCCTGCGCGCAGTCCACATTGGGCCCGTGGCCACAATCGGCAAGTACATGCGCCTCCTGCGCCAGCTGTCGTACATGCAGAACCACATGAACGACGATCCCCGCGGCCGCGCGCAGTTCGAGATGCTCGCCGCGACCAAGATGATCATCGACGCCAAGCTGCTCCAGCCAGAACTCTTGCACGACCTTGTTCGATTTGCGCTGCTGTCTGCCAATGTCACGTGCCGCCTGTGCCTATCTCCAAATGGGAATGCGGTTGCCTTAGCTGGCTTGGACCTCCTGCCGTTGGTCACCCCCGCCGACGGTACGCCCTTGTGTATAGTTATTGTTTATAGAGTAAGTCATTGTGTATAGTTATGTAAAAGGTGTATGTATATATTGTGAAAATTCGCTATAAACTTTCAAAAGTATTCGCGTGGTTTGTCCAATCAATATTGAATCCCGCTGGAGTTGTTGTGATTGGTTGAATCTACTTGTCCTTTTTGTAAGAGCCAATCAAATAATCCACTCAAAATGGATTAGCCAATAGCGTCGATATTCGATTATTCGACGGGGTCATCTGTACCGAATCCACAATATATATATATATAATTGTTGTGTTTATGTTCTAAACTGGAGCGACTTGGACAGAAAGAATGAATCGACGACACAACCAAAATGTGGAGAAGAATCGGCAAATGTATATATAGCCAATCAGATTGTAGGAAATCACCCTCATCTACGTGAAATTAGTGTGTGACGACTGCCAAATACTAGTGTGAATTCGAATTACCGTGTTTTGTATATTCAAAATATATAGAATCGATCAATATATTTGGCGATTCAGCACATCAAAGTAGTCCAAAAATCTTTTCGGGTAAATATATGACCATCCATGTTGTTGTAGCCTTGTTGGTGCCGTCTGTGCCCGAGCATGTCGTCGAAGACATCCTGAGCATCGTGCTGTTTGTGGCTCGGTTTGCGCCCGACGAGCTCAAGTCGTTCGAGTTTGGCGACTTTTTGACCATGGCCCTGATCTTCTTGTCGTCCCCGCAACTCATTCGCAGCCCCCACCTCCGCGCCAAGATGAGCGAGTGCTTGTTTGAAATGTGCCTGCCTTCGCACGAGTCGGAGGACCGACCGACGGCGGCGATCCCGTCGGCGGTTGCGGCGCTCGTGCAGAGCAAGTTGGCCCAGCAGCACTTGGCGCCGTGCTTGTTGGCGCTGTACGGAGACGTCGAACAGACGGGGTTTTATGAAAAACTAGAGCACAGGTGGGGTCTTATAATATTTTTATTATATTTGAAATCAACGCGAGTGACGGGGATATGACGTGGCGTCGTGGGTAGATACAACATTGCGTGCTTGTTGAAATACTTGTGGAAGTGTCCTGACCACAAGGCGGCGTTCGTGATGATCAGCCAGAACCAACCGGCGTTTGTCAAGTTTGCCCATGGGCTCATGAACCATATCAACTCGTTGCTCACCGATGCCTTGACCAACTTGCCCGAGATTAAGTCGCTCCAAGTAGGCATTTCTAGAAATATTTATATATATATATGTGTGTTGGTAGGAAGAAAGCCAAAGCCCGCAATGGCTGAGCTTGAACGAAGCAGTGCGGGAACAAAAGCAAAGTCTACTGGCTGAGAAGGAGCGCACGGTCACGTCAAGTTTGCAGCTGGCCAATGAGACGATTCACATGATGTCGTACTTGACGTCCGAGATCCAAGCGCCGTTTCTGACGGCCGAGCTCGAAGACCGCCTCGTGGGGATGCTCAACAGCGTCTTGGTCAAGCTGGCGGGGCCGCGAGGGTTGGATCTCAAGGTGCGACTGTTGAAGTTATATATATATATAGTGCTTTTAGCCAATATATATGGAGTTTTGTGTGCGGAATCCCCAACTCCATCGATGGATTATTTTTGTCTTGTACTGAATGTTGTAAAAAGTGTTGAATCCTTTCAGTCATACACTAATTCGATGTGGTATGGAATTTGATTGGCCACTTGAAAAGTGTTCTGGTTTTTGATTGGTCGAATTTCGATTGTCTGCCGAGTTGGTCTTTGCTGTTCTCGTGTGATAGAGCATTCCAAGTTTTCGACTCGACGTGACAAATATATATATATATATATATATATATATATATATTGATGTATGTTTTCATCGTTGCAGGTGACCAACCCCGAAGTGTACAAGTTCCGGCCCAAGGTGATGCTGTGCGAGATTGTCGAGACGATTTTGCACTTTAGCCAGTACGAGAGCTTCCAGCTGGCGGTGGCAACCAACGGCCTGTACGACGCGTCCGTGTACCGCAAGTGCGCGGGCATTTTGCAGCGCACGCAAGTGGTGGACGCGGCCAAAGTGGCGGCGTTCGACTCGTTTGCGCAGACGGTGGAGGACCTTTTCAACAGCAACACGCAGGACGAAGCCATGCTGGGCGACATCCCCGACGAGTTTATGGACCCGCTCCTGTGGCAGCTGATGAAGGAGCCTGTGACACTGCCCAGCGGGTACGTCGTGGACAGAGCCACCATCACGCAGCACTTGATGAACGACGCGTCCGACCCATTCACGCGATCACCGCTGACCGTCGACCAGCTCGTGCCCAACGCGGCGCTGAAGGCTCAAATCCAGGCGTGGGTGGCGGCGCAACACAAATAAGATGGACATGGACACTCAAAGTCCATGGTCGTGCCAAAGGGGATTCCGATGTGTTACTGTATTTGCATGATATATATGGTTGGTAGTAGTAGTATACAGTAGTACATGGTAGTGTTTGCGTGAAAGCACGAAGAGTAAACAAAAGATAAAAATTAGAGCTAACTAGTACTACAAGACTGTACTACTGCACCTACTACTGCACCTACATACATACTGTACCCACGTCAGTATAAGGGTAATTAATCAACGTCCGCACTGGTATAATACGTAGTACAGTTGTAGGGGTCGTTCAATGCTGTGTTTGTGGGTGCTTTATCCACTTGGCTGGCAGCATGATCATGATTCTCCTACACAACCACGCATCAGCAAGTCATAGAAATGGGAATGGATATTCGTATTGCCTTAGTCGGGGGGATAGATTTCGGGGGGTTGCTGAGGATTGGGCCCCCAGCCCTGACACTCGCTGCGCATGGTCGTCGATGATCTCCTCCTCCGAAGTGCCGAGGCTTCGGACGGCTTTGGCCCGCAGCATTTGCTTCTTGGAGTACCCACACAGCAGCTCCTCCTTGGTCAGCTGGTCAATCGACAGCTCCAGCACCGCCGAGTGCCGTTGTACTAATCCCATCACCACGTGACAACAAAAATGAGCATACATAAACCAAAGTGCGTCGTACAGTCGTCGTATTCCTCCAGGTCGTGGTCGCACACACCCAGCTTCTTCATGAGCTTCTCAATGCGCAGCGTCTCTTCCGACACGCCGAGCTTGGACAGGGCCCTGTCCGCAACGTCGTTGGGAACCATCAAATTGGAGTGCATTTTCGTGACCCCCCTCCGAGGACTGGGATGTGCGCGCAATTCCGAGGCCTTCCGTGGACTGCTGGGGGTTTTGCCAGGTTGATTTGAGCCTCGTCGTGCGGTCCCGGGGGCTGCTTGCGCAATCTCTGTGATCGAAGGCAGGTTGATCATCGTATATCCCCCGCAGCAATTCCTCGCACAGCCCCTAGTCTTAGCCAAAGTCCACTGGAATCTATTTATGGACGACCCGTGCACTACTGGTAGACAGTTTCTCCGTCCCTCCCCTGTCTTTCCTAAATACCGCCAGGATGTGATGCATGCCTTTGCCCACCTGTCATCAACGCCCTCTCTGTGACGACAATCCAAAGCTCTAGTCGTCGCAAAGTGGGCGTATCGTATGCACACTCTGTTCGACGTCCTCCGCGTTTCGTCACTTGCTCTGTACAATCATCCCCATGATTCAAAAGCTGAACAACGTACAATGCGACTACTTAGCTATCAGGCAGTACTACTGTAATGATTATATCGCACTCATGTGGGGCTCCAACGTGGTGGCCCATAAAGACAGGTACGACGGGTGCAGGTGGGTTCCGTCGAGCACGTACGACGGTTGGAGCTACACCATCAAAATACCAGTCAAGTCAACTCCAGGGGTAGGCGGCACCTTGTTGTATGGGGTCAAGAGGCTGTCGAAAAAGTCCATCCAATGGCACAGGGTACTACCTTGCACCTTGGCCTGAAATAGGCGATTGTAAAGCTGCACAATGTGTCGGGTCTCGTCGAGCACGGGCACGATCGGATGAATGAATGCCTACGTACACAACCAAGTGAATGACTCGACGTACGCCCGTGTATGTATGTATGTATGCGAACCTTGAACCCAAACTCCCGCACCAAATCCTCCACAACGTCCATGAAGATGGACATGGTATGCGCCATGCCTTCTTCGAGAGTCTACTGGCGTTTGCTTAGCTTACTGTAGCTATCGAAATCGTATGCTTCGACACTAGGGATCACCTCGTAGCGACACTTTTCCACGGCCACAAGAAGCCCTTCGCGGCAGTCGATTTCGCCAAACACAAACACGACAGTGGCCCCACGTGGAATGGACTTGATCACGTTGAAAAAGTGCACTTTGGGGTAAAACGTCGATGTCTTGCGCAAATGCCCTGTGTGCAAAGTGCCGTTATATGTCCACAACGGGTCGTACAGGCAGTCAAACGTCGTACAATGTTTGAGGCCCGTCACGAGCGCCGGAACCAGGACATGGGCACCCACGGACCGCCATGCCGTCGCCAACGCATGCGAGTCTCCACACACGTAAATGATATTTGACGGACGGGGCCGCGGCACATGGAGCGACGGGATGGTCACCAGCTGCGTGATGCACGAGTAGTACGCGTGCTCGTTGCGGATCGACGTCGTGTGCAGGAGGTGGCCGTAGTGGTACCGCAACGGTTCGATTGCATCGACCAAAGCGGGCACGGGGCGAAGGCACCCTTGCAGGAACAAGATCTAGGCAAGCGATATATATATATGTTAGTGTTGCACTTTTCCAAATGTCGGTATTTGCCTTGACAAGGGTGCACAGCAGTGCCAATAAATCGAGTTGTTGGCCGGTCAAGTCGACGGTGGTGGCCACGGCGCGCTCGAATTTTGCGTCGTTATGGTACACACAGACGTGAGTTCCTTTCCACGCCATCGCAGCTTCCTCTGTCCAATGGCCACTCGCGTCATCTAGCGTCGAGTAGGGCGCCAACACAGCTGCAATGTCTTGACACGTCAAGTCCATCCCAACGACCGTGGTTGGGGTGTTGTGTACAAACTGCTTGACAACGACGAACGCGTCGCCGTATCGCCCGCACACTTCCAGCGCGTGCACGTAATTCAAGGCAAACATGACATCGCTGGGGCATTGGGCCACTGCTTGTTGGAAGCACGACACGCAAGCTACAGGAACGACATGAGCCCCTCAACTCAAAGGACATGCGTATACCGGTCATGGCTCCGTGGTCCTTGGCCACGGACGCCAAGTACGCGTACGCAGGTGCCGTGGACGGGGACGTCGGGTCCAACGCGAGCTGCAAGTACTCAAACCCACGCGGGGCCTCCAAGAACGCCGCGCATTTGGCTTGGACGCCTATGGACGTTCATTGAGTGTGCTGGCTGACATCAACAAAACCACGAGTACGTTTATCTTTGGGTCGGTCCACAAGCACTTTCAACATCATTTGCATGGCTTGGGCGGGTTTGCCGCGATCGTGCGCCACTTGGCTGTACAAGGCCATCGCGTCCATGTCCGTATGGTTGGATTTGTCCAGGAGATGCACCAAGATGGACACGGCCTTGTCTTGATCTTTGATCGACCCGCATTCGTACAGCGCGGTTGCGAGTAGGATGCTCGCGTCATGATCCATGTCCGGCTACATACGACAACAAACACGTCAACGTCCGACAACACTGGTTGGACGGACGGGCTGTACCGTTAAACTCGGTGTGGACAAGAGCTCCTGCAAGATGGTAATGGCACGACCAGAGTTGGCCAAGTGCATTTCGCACGTGGCTAATTGCAAACGCGGTGCTTGATGCGTTGGATCCGCAAGGAGCAGCTTCAAGAGGACCGACTTGGCTTTGGTCCATTGGGTGCTTTGCATGTACAAGTCCACCATCCCTTGCATCGCAGACGCATTCGCAGTGTCCATGTCCACCAGCACCGCCTCCCACACTGCCCAAAGTAAGCTCACGTTTCTTGTGTGAAGAAACATAGCGCTTCCTTACATGCTTTGGCCGACCGCCATGCATTGTTCTGTCTGTGCTTGTTTGCGTGCCCGAGGAGCATGTCAACGGCACCGTGGTTGGGCTTTCTGGGCTCCACGGAAGTAACAACAGGTTGAGGCGGTGGTGAGGTTGCCACATGGACAAGTGCAAGCTCGCACGAATCCTACGTTACGTCTGTCTCAACATCGAGAGGCACATTGATGTACTTGATGATGTACATGGTCGTCAAGAAGCGTTGAGATCTTCTTGGTCGGTTCCAGTGGCTTGTTGTTGGCCATTGCCACGAGCAAGCTGGGCGTGAGCTGCTGCGTGGGGAACTTGCAGTTGTACGCGTCGACAAACGCTGTCACAGCTTCGTGCACGTGTGTCAGCGGTGTCTTGCACACGTACGTCCATTCGCTATAACCGCCACTGGGGTCGACGTGGATGTAAATTCGCATGCGCGAAGGATGCCGTTGGCTGGATTCCGGCGTTTTAGATATCCTTGCAAGGGCAGCCGTTTCACGGCAACCTCCTCACTTCGAGCGGTCGTGAATTCGATTCGGTATGTACCGACAGTCACCATGAACCGAAGGAATCGCTGTGAATACTTCCATCCATTCAATTAGCTGGACAATCCAAGAGGAAATAAATGACATCTTCCATTACAATAACGCGCTTTATGGTACGGCAAATGGAGCATTCAAAGTATATTGGTACGATAGCAGTCGCAGCGGCGCATTGAAACGACGGAGTACCCCCTCCAACCAACCGCCGAATCACGTATCCGCTGCCAATGTGGACCTATTCGTTGTTACGAGCGGCCTTCTTCTTGAGGTCCTGGTAGAAGGTGTCGATGGTCTTCAGTTCACCATCGGCGTACGACTTCCACACATAGCCCAAACCCACGCCGAGGGCAATGGCGACTCCGACTTCGGCTTTGACGCTGGGCATGATGATCTTGCAGGAAACTGTTGGCTCTGATAATGCTGGCGTTCCCTCAGCCGTCACTTCATATCCGGCCTAGGTTCGCCTCACCCAGGCCACTTTTATACTAATTCTGCATAAAAGTGAGGGACTTGCCCCATTAAGTGCGTTCAAACAAACGTACCTAAAAAAGCATGATCGAAATTTAAAAAAGGTGGAATTCAACTCACAGACCAATGAATTAAAATATATCGTACTTAATACAGCCTCCAATTGCCGTACTTCCAAGGAGTGTTTGCCACAGTACTACATTGAAAACATGCGTGAATTGTCCAATCGCATTGATACCAACAACCAATAATAGCCAATCAAATCCCATTATTTCGGTTCCATCAGCCACTCAGATCGAACAACGTCAGTTGAGAGTTACGAGTCGTCGCGAGATCGAAGGAAGCGGCGGTGGCGGTCGAGACACGTGAGCGCAATGAAAACTGCTTGAGCTGGCGCGATGGGGCCAAGAAAGTCGAGCCAAAACCGCTGGCGGTCAGACCCTGAGCGCGCCAGCGTCAACATTGGCTCGTCGATGGAAGTGGGTCGCACGAGGACGAGCAGGGTGGTCGATTCGTCTCTCACTCGGCCATTCTTACCGTGCCAATTCCTCGACCGGGAAAAGTTCCAAAACGGGTCGGACTTGGCCACCATGGAAAACACGCGCGCCGTGTCGGGTCGACGGACCTGGGTCCAAATGGTATCGCGGCGGGATTGTGGTTCATACGCGCGCATGATCATGTCGTTAGGGCCATCCAGCCCTCGCCATTCGGGCAAGGGAACAGCCACAATCGGATTGGTGGCGGCATAGCTGATCGCGGCGAGGTCTTGGTTCCAGTGATCCATGGCCAGGTACTGGTTGCTGTGAGGCAGCAGCTCCACGTGCGCTGCGACGACGTTGTCCGCCGACTTGATGGTCATTCTGACACTGTGGTCGACGGCGTTTCGATTTCGCACGGCGGTGCACACGACGCCGATCGTGAACGGACACGTGAATATAAACGACCCATTCGGGCCTGATCGAATGTCCAGCTGTCTCACGCCGTCTATTGTGTTCGTAACGATGCGCAAGTCAAGAGGATGCGGAAGGTCTTCGTGGACCACAGGAACATGGCGAACGACTGGTGGAGCGTCTACAGGATGGATCAGACCAGGCCAGTGTAGTTGACGTACTTTGATTGGGGAGGATAGGGTCATTCGGGGGATGGACGTGGGCGGCTTGAGCGCCGTTGGGGAAAGGGGGCGTCGCCACGTCCGTCGTTGCCATGTCCACATCTTCATCTGGAGGGCAAAGGTCGGCCCGCATTTCATTTGCGATTCGCTGGACGTAATGCGCAGGAACCAGATTCTCCAAGCTATGACTCTTGCGACAAACTGGACACGTGCCTTTCGCTCGAACCCACGTGCGAATGCATCGCTTGCAGAAGACGGTCCCACAACACGATGTCTGCGTGGCAGTAGCCAAGTAGTCCTTGCAGATGGCGCACTCCAACATCCGAAGCAGGTTTTCAGTCGTCATGGCGGATAAGGAAACAGTAGCAACCACCTCTGTCGACGATGGACCCTTTTGTTCTTCTTCAACAATAGCATCCTTTGTTGATGGACCCTTCACTTCTTCATCAGCATCCTCTTCCGTCGATGGTGCCTTGTCTTCTTCGGCAGGAGGACGTACCTCGACCTGAATCTCGTTCAGGTCGACAGCAGTTGCCCCATCGTCACGTGGGCAATCCATCCAGGTGCGAATTGCCTCTCCAAAATCTGACCAATCAGAGGCTTGGCATTGATTTACGGAATTCCCTCATTTAATAATGAATGTAAATGAAGACTGGGAACAACGTTGTACAGTATGATGGTATTAATATGTACCTTTGTATGTAAGCTATGACACACGCCCTTTGGATGCGTCCGCAGCATTCGACGACATTCCCTTTGTCATATCGGTGGTTCACGTTCGCAACAGGCACCCACTTCACAGCCCTTGGAAGTGAATTTCTAACATTTTTATAGCAGTAATATATACGAAGGGAATTGTGGTCATGCCTGCGGTCACAGTGACATTTACTTAACCCGCCATATGCAACCCGACTAAGCATACAGCTTCGTGCCCTTGCAGTCCGCTGCTTAAAACGCATGAAAATGGCGCCAATTGCTGGAAGCTTTCACCGCGTCTCGGATGGTTTGTGGGAAGGGGGTTGGTCCCGCCTCAACGCTGCCAATGTACATCCTTGACGGAGTAGATATGTATTGAAATCGAAGCATCGGGGGGATATCATGTCGATGTCGAACGTGGGCATTCGATATGTTATATTGATAGTATCGTCCTCATCAGTACCATATGATGTCGATTTTGCAACGGCGCGCGGGGAATAAATATAGTTGCACGACAAGTTAACGTTATCAACGAAAACCAACAATATATTTTCCCTAACGTTAACGTTAGTCCGGTCATGAAGTTGTTGAATATTTATTTGAATAGTTCATTACTATTTTAATAGTAATGAATATTCAAATAAAATATTACTAGTTACTATACTATTAAAATAGTATAGTAACTAGTATTGTGCTTTCCGGTTACACTTGCCAATTGTGAGCCATTGTGAAAATCGCCAACAAATAGCCGCGATGATTTCATTGGTTAGAATTTCGAAGATTTGGGCAGAAAATGGACATCCAACTCAGTTTTCCACAAAAGCCTGGGCAGTACGACGAAGTGTAGTCGCACATTGCGGTAGTGCGGGCGCCCAGTTGGTGAACTTGAGATGTTTGTGTGTACTGTACTGTACATAGGTGTGCATGTGTGTTGGGGATGCGAAGAGACTCGCATACGAGGCCTACGCGCTCAGGTGTTAATGCTGCAGATTGGATCGTCGTCCATTGACTCAGGTCAGGAAACTGCGTCATAATAGGGTGATTATTATCGATTGTTTTGTGAGAGAAATCCCACTTTTTGTCATTGGGGTCATTTCGCGGACATTCGGATCGGGGCGATTTAAGAACCGCCCATGGAAATTTGGAGTAGAACACACAATATTTATGCATCAAGCACGCGAGAGCATCGTGGCATATGCATGTTACAAATCACACCAGAAGGGTCCTATGGACCGTCACGGGCCTTGAGGACGCGGCGGTGGCGGTCCATCGCTGTGAGGGCAATCGCAAACGCTTGCAGGGGGGCGATGGGGTGCAAAAAGTCGACCCAGACGCGACTGCGCTCGGTATTTGCGTACGCCACCGACAAGAACGGCATGTCGTTGTTCTTGGGGCCAACCAGCACGAGGATGGTGCGGGCTCCCTGGACATAACGACCTCCGTGGCGCAGCCAAGAGTGTTTTCGGTTGAAATCGTAGTACGGGTCCGACTTGCCCTCGAAGGGATTCACGCGCGACGTGTCTGGTCGGCGCACTTGCATCCAGATGGAATCGCGGCGCGACTGCGGAGCGAATGGCGTCATGTCAGACCCCTCGTTGAGGATTTGAACCGGTTTCGGAAGCACCAACACGGGGTCCTTGGACATGTAATCCACCGCCATGATGTCGCGGCCCAAGTGATCGACGGCTAAGTACTGATCGCTGTGGGGAAGCAGCTCCAGCGTCGCCACCACGACCATGTCGTCGGGTGACTTGATCGTCAACGTGATGCTGTGATCGCCATCGCCGCGCGTGCGCACGGCCGTGCAAATCACCCGCTGCGTGTGTTCCAGCAGCAACGAGAACGACCCATTCTGACCAAGGCGAATGGTGCATTGATGGGCCCGATCTTCGGCGCCAGGGATTGCATACAAATACGGTCGACCTGGATCGTCGTTGTCCGCGGCATCGACGGGGCCATCTACGAACGAGTGTGTGATATGTTGTCAAGAGGTGTATGAGGGTGTAGGGTGTGCAAGCCAACCGTCGTCCCCGCCTTCGTTGATCAACACGTTCGCTTGAAACACTTGGTCAAGGGGGTTTTGAGCCCCTGTTGGGGTAAACAATTGGTCGAGTCGGTGTTGGACCTCTGTGGATGGGCCCGTCCCCCCGTCGGTGATGGCGTCGTTGGTGGGGCAGAGATCGTCCTTGAGCTCGTCTGCAATTCGCTGAACGTACCTCGCCAGCGTCAATTTGCTTGGGATTTGCTGCATTCGGCATACAGGACATGTACCCTTGGCTCGCACCCACATGCAGATGCAGCGCTTGCAAAACACGGCCCCGCAGCATGATGTCTGCGTGGCCTTGACCAAATACTCCTTACATATCGAACACTCCATCATTCGCATGAGATTTTCGGTGCTCGCGGCAGAAAGCTTGACTGCTTCCTCCTCCCATGGGTCTCTGGCTTCTTGAGCTGCTGGAGGGCCTTCGTCTTCTTGCACGTTGGTCTCAATTTCCTCGTCCGCGGGAGCGACAGCAATATTGTCGGACATGTCAAATCTCGTACTGCAAGTTTAAGAGATCGGAGTAGGCCAGTCACAGTCGCTCCGTGTCGAAGTTTTAGCCAATCACATCACAGTTTTATTTGACGGTTTCGACTTTGGACATTTTGGGGGTCAAGGCGGCATCCTCACAAGCTCAGACCCCGTGGACGGACGGGCGCTTTACGAATGGCGTTGACCGTACGAGTAGCGCACGTTGCATAAAGAATAGGAGGAGTCATTTCGATGGAATGAATGAAATGTTAGTCCTATTGCTACGTTTTCTCGCGAAGCATGCGGTAAATGCCACCATGTCGAACTTGCATTTTGGACGGCGACGGGGACATGCGCTAGTCATTTCCCATGCAGTGAGCCCGCCCATCATTCTCGTCGGGATAAGAGTTTTCTTACCTTGGATGGCGTGTGTGCTGCTGCTTCGGCGACTTCCCCTGCCGCGTCCGTCGTGAGGGTGACGTACGCATGGTTCTTGGCCATAATATTTTCTTTGGCAGAGTCAACGAGCACAGCCGAATCGTTGTAGTCGTCGGTGCGTTTGAGACCCTTGAGCAATAGCGAGTATATGCCTCCGTGCTTGACTTTGCGTCCTCGAATGAGTTTTGTACTGGCCTTGGACAACATGGGGTCAGGCCTGGCGTCATCTTGATTGCTATTTGACTCTCCATCGATGTCTAGGGTTTCGTCGGGCTCATAGAATGACGTCGGCGACGGAGGAAGGGCGAGGGGAGAGGCCAAGTCGTATTCGGGCTGTTCGTAACACGGTCGACATACAGTCATGCCGTCGTTTTCAGACTTTGGCCCCGGGGATGACAGATCTTGGGCTTTTATTCTGTGTTGGAACAGCTCTAACACACGCACCATGTTATAGCGACCTTGTCGTCGTCGTCGAACAGGAGACAATTACACCTTTCCTTAACGAGAGCCGCCGCCGGTCTTGTTTGGCGGTGTCCGCTGTGGAGTCGATGGGGGCGACGTCGTTGTTTTCTCCTTCTTCGTTCCATGTCTTTTCGTTCGTGTTGCTTCCATGCGGGCTTTGTAAGGCCTATGCATATGATGCCTGTGTCAACGGTACACTTGCCATGGCCGAACTCGCACCAGTGTTTCGAGCGACACGCATGGATCAAAGCCAAGATGCTGGTCTTGTTCGCCATAGATATCCACATCCATTTCAAGCAACGATTCCAGATCCCCCGTAGCATTCTCGTCGCCAGGAGTGCCGTCGAACAATGCGTACGAGATGCATATACCGCTTTCCTGCATTCCACATCGTGTCATGTCAAGCGAGTTCGTTCTGGCAGGGCATTACCTGCTGGGTACATATGGCATCCACACAGAGCACTTTGCATGTTGTTTCCTTGGTCATACTACCACAGTAGTGGCAACGTTCCTGGATGGCGATAGGTCGCAGCTCGATGGCGCGTCTTCTCCGTGCACCTTCAACAAAAAAGGAAGTTTACATGTACCATACGGTTATTATCCGGACACGTTTTACGACCTTGACCAATTAAACGTTCTTTTCATGTCATACTCCCATGACTCAATAAAACCTACTTGAAGTGTATAAAACCACTCATGTCCAGCCAATCAGATGCGCCCGTGACAATATGTAAGGGCACGATTCATTTTTCATTCCGCAACCAGCAATGCCGCGCAAGAAGCTCGCCGCATGGGACGAATTCGATGAGATTCCCACCGACGAGAACTCCCAGATGAAGATGGGTCGCATGGAATGCAAGCACTGCAAGGGCACCGTGTCCAAGTCTGTGCACCGGCTCCTGTCCCACCTGCAGAGCTGCCCAAACTTTGAAGGCGACTTGCCAGCCGCAGTCCTTCATGATGCCTGCAGTATCGACGCCCTTAAAGCTGAATCCGACGCATCTTATCACCCCTTGAGCAAATACATCGACCACACGTTGCTGAAAGTACGTGTCTCACCATGCGTTACGAGTTGTCAATCATTCGACACCACCTTAGGCAGACGCGACCCCGGACAGCATCGCCGTGTTATGCAACGAGGCCGTTGACAACGGGTTCTTCTCCGTATGTGTTAATGGCATCTACGCGTCCTACGCCCGAGAAGTATGCTTCTATTACATTGTTACAACCCCAACTCACGCACATGCTAATTCCCTTGTAGGTCTTGGACGGATTGATGCATCAGTCCCTCAGGCGTGGATGCCGCCGTCGACACGTAAAAGTGTGTTGTGTCGTGGGGTTTCCTCTAGGTGCGTCGGCAACGGCCGTCAAGGCGTTCGAAGCCACGCAATGCCTGCAGGACGGAGCCGACGAAATCGACATGGTCATTGCAGTCGGAAAGCTCAAGGCTGGGGACCACGCGTATGTGCTCCGCGACATTTGGTACTCAAGTTTTCCCCAAAGCAACGAAACGTTGTCACATGGTCCCTAGTGGCGTGGTCACAGCATGCAAATCCAAGCGTGCAATGTGCAAAGTGATCTTGGAAACGGCGCTCTTGACCGACCCCGAGATCGAGAGCGCCAGCCACTTGGCCATCGCGGCAGGAGCTGACTTCATCAAGACGTCCACGGGGTTTTCCACTCGTGGCGCGTCGATCGACGACGTTATGCTGATGAGTCGCATCGCGCACCCGAGACACGTCCAAGTCAAAGCCAGCGGCGGCGTACGGACGTTGGAGGATGCGCAGAAAATGGTTGCCGCCGGGGCCACGCGACTAGGCACGTCAGGAGGCATTGCTATTACCCACGGTGACGACGTCGCTCATGGTCAATATTAACCAGTGGACGAAGCCTAAACCCAACTGGAGAGGTATGGTGCATTTCATCGAAAGACTACATACAGCTCGGCCATCCTCAGGAGGAGACGTTTTAGTTTAAACGCCTCGGTTCTTTCAGTTAACAGTAAACCAACATATAGGTGGCATGGCATCCGACATCAAACCGACAAATTTGGAGCCGATGATTGGATAACCGACAAATTTTTGAATTATGATTGGTCAGATATTTTATAGGCAATCTGATTGGGCGATGTAGTTGTCGGTTGAGCAACATATCACTCACATATAACATATACAGCTTGCTATTGGCTGAAAACACAGTCGTATCGACATATTCCGGAACACATGACCTCGACTCAGCACCCCAAGAACAGAAATACTTAAGTGGAGCAGAGCTCGACAAACAAGGTGACGAGTTTTGACTAGTACGAGTACAGAGAAGTAGCTGCTGTGCTTGGTGTATGGATAATGTACAGTACATCCATAAACAACGTCATTAGACAGGCCGCACAATCGTCCACCGACCCACACGGCATGTTCATCTCTGTGAATCCATAGGAACGCGTCACTGTGATCACGTTGATGTATTGTGCAGTCACCAGGCGAAATGGCCGTGCCATAGTTGGGACGTGT